CTTCAAGTTCTGCCAGAAGTACGCCCGCAAGACTGAGTTCCGCCGCCTGTGTGAGCTTCTGCGCAACCACGTCCAGAATGCCGCCAAGTACTCTTCCCAGATGCACGCCATCAACCTGAGCGACGCCGACACCCTGCAGCGCCACCTCGACACTCGCTTCCAGCAGTTGAACGTTGCCGTTGAGTTGGAGCTGTGGCAGGAGGCTTTCCGCAGCATTGAGGATATCCACACCCTGTTGAACCTCAGCAAGCGCCCCGCCAAGAACATTATGATGGCCAACTACTACGAGAAGCTTGCCCGCATTTTCCTTGTTAGCGAGAACTACCTCTTCCACGCCGCCGCCTACAACCGCTACTACAACCTGCTCCGTCTTTCTTCCGTGGCCCTGGCCAGCGGCCAGAGCTCCAAGAAGGAGAACCCCTCTGTCACCGAGGCCGAGATGACCAAGGCCGCCTCCTTCGTCCTTCTCTCCGCTCTGTCCATCCCCGTTATCAGCACTTCCCGCTCCCGCGGCGCTCTGGTCGATGTTGATGAGGCTCGCAAGAACAAGAACACCCGTCTCACTAACCTTCTCGGTATGGCCACCTCGCCCACCCGTGATGTGCTCTTCCGCGATGCTCTGAACAAGGGTCTTCTCCGCCGTGTGCGCCCCGAGATCCGCGAGCTGTACAACATCCTCGAGGTTGACTTCCACCCTCTGTCCATCTGCAAGAAGATTACCCCCATCCTGAAGCAGATTGGTGACGATCCCGAGATGGAGAAGTACGTTGTGCCTTTGCAGCAGGTCATTCTCACCCGTCTCTTCCAGCAGCTGTCCCAGGTTTACGAGTCCGTTGAGCTCAAGTTCGTCTACGAGCTTGCCCAGTTCCCCGCTCCCTTCCAGATCACCCCCGCCATGATTGAGAAGTTCATCATGAACGGTTGCAAGAAGGGTGACCTCGCTATTCGTGTTGATCACATCTCCGGTGTCCTGACTTTCGACTCCGATGTCTTCTCTTCCTCCAAGGCTACCCACGCCGGCAGCGGCGCTGGCTCCGCTGAGAGCGAGGTTGGCTCCATCCAGCGTCTGCAGCACACCCCCGCCGAGATCGCCCGTTTCCAGGTCGCCCGTCTCGCCAAGACTCTCCACGTCGCCTGCATGTACGTCGATCCCTCCTACAGCCAGGCTCGTCTTCAGGCCAAGCAAACTGCCCAGGCCCGCGCCATTGCTGGTGCCACCCAGGAGCACGAGGAGACCCTCGCCCGTCGCGTTCTTATCGACAAGAAGAAGGAAGCCGCTACCGATGCTTTGCAGCGCAAGCAGCGCGAGGAGGAGACCCGCAAGCGTGTCCGCGCCCAGCAGCTCCAGGATGCCGAGAAGCAGCGTCTGGCCGATGAGCAGCGTGACCGTGAGCTCAAGCGTATTAAGGATGAACAGGACCGCATTCGCCAGGAAGAGCTCAAGAAGCAGCTCGAGGAGCTCAAGACTGGTGTTAAGGGTATTGACGTCAGTGAGATCGACCTTGACGAGCTTGATGCCAACCGCCTGCGTGCCATGAAGCTGGCTCAGCTCGAGAAGGAGAAGAACGAGCTGAACGACCGTATTCGCACCACTGCTAAGCGTATCGACCACTTGGAGCGTGCCTTCCGTCGCGAGGAACTGAAGCACATTGCCGCCGATTACGATGCCCAGAAGAAGCTCGACACTGAGCTTTATGAGAAGCACGTCGCCGAGGAACTGCGCGAGTCCAAGGAGAAGCACGCCGAGGCCGTTGCCCTCAAGCACCGTCTGGGCCGTCTCGTTCCCCACTTCAGCAACTTCCGCAGAGAGGTTTCCGAGAAGCGCCACGAAGAGTTCGAGAAGCGTCGCAAGGCTGCCGAGCGCGAATTCGAGGCTAAGAAGAAGCAGCGTATCAAGGAGGTCCAGGAGCGCCGCCGCCGTGAGAAGCAGGAGCGCGAGGAAGAGGAGGCTCGTCGCAAGGAGGAGCAGGAGCGTGCCGAGCGCGAGGAGCAGGAACGCATCGCCCGCGAGGAGGAGCGCCGTCGTGTTATGGCCGAGGAGAAGGCTAAGCGCGATGAAGAGCGATCGTTAGTATTCCCTAATTTTAGTTTCCTTTCGAATCTTGATACTAACTTGGCATATAGCAAAATGGACGAGATCGCTCTCAAGCAGCAACAGAGAGAGGCCGAAGCCGAAGCCCGCCGTGCAGCTCGCAAGGGTGGATACGAAGAGCCAGTCGCACGAACCGCGCCCCGTCTCAATATCGCCCCACGTACCGGAGGTGCTCCCCTTACCTGGAGAGAACGTGAAGCCCTCAAGGAAGCCGGTGGTGCCCCCGCCGAGCCCGTTCGCGCCCCCCCGTCCGCGAAGAGCCCGCCCCTCTCCGCAAGGGTGGATACATTCCTCCTCACCTGCGCTCCGGTGCCCCTGCCAGCGCTGGATCCGCCCCCCCTCCCCCTGCTCCCCGTGAGCCCCGCGAACCCCGTGAGGCTCTGCCCCGTGAGGCTCCCACCGAGCGCTGGGCGCCCCGTCAACCCCGCGAATCTTCCTCTCAGTCTCCTGCTCCCGCTTCGGAATCCAAGCCCGCCGGTGGCAAGTGGGTCCCTAAGTGGAAGCAGCAGCAGTAAACGACCGAGCTACGACTTTCCAGTTAAAAAGTGTATCCAAGCTCTTTTCTTTTTGGCGCTATTCTCATGACCCTTCCGCATATTTCGTGTATCATTCACCCATGTTCACCCCGTAACTTGTTAATGGGGGCCCCAGTTCTGTCTTTCAGCTCGCTCGGAATATGATATAATCTTTTCCTAGTTTTTTTCTTGTTTAAGTTGGTGTTGTAGATGTTTTAGACATTTTATTCCTATCTATTGACAGCGGTGGAGTTGAGCCGATCCCAATTCTCGACAGCACTGGCTCCGCACAGGTACAGGTTGCATACAAGTATGCATGTCGAACGCAGGTACCTTTTTTAATAATTGTTGAGCTCTAATGTTGAGCTCTAGAATATAAGAGAAAGAATGGGCCTACTAATCGAATTGAAATGAATGGTATCACAATTTCAAGCCTAGAAGCACTTGACCTAAGAAGACGAAGCTCTATGAACGACTAGGACGAAAACATAATGAAAGATGGCCTAGTAAACATCAATATGGATATCTGACAAGAATAAAAAAAAAAAAAAAATAAAAGACAGCAGTCTATGTCCTGACCTGAGGAAACAGAAACAGAATCGCAAAAAATGATCAAGTCATGAACATCAACATCAAACTTATGCAGCAGCCACTTCGGCATTAGTCCCAAACAGCTTTTCTCTCCATTCCCCACAAACAGCTTCAAAGCCACTGACTACATCACCGCAGACCTTGCCCGCCTCTCGATCTTTGAGTCGACGATCCCAATCACCGCGCTCGATCCATCGGGATCCCTCTTCGCGACTCTCTTCCTCCCGTCGAATATCAGCGACGAGTTCGCGCGCAGAGCGTAACCGGCGCGAAGCGGTTGAAGTCAATTGTCTCGATTCGTAGAGGGTATCGCTTAAGCCACGAAGGGTATGTGTGATATCTGCTGTTTGCGAGATAAGGGCTTGGAGAGAGGCCAGGGGGTTTTGCGCGGCGGACTGAGGGGTTGTTGATTGGGAGTCTGGGTGTTCTGGGAAGGGGTATGGGAGATTTGGCAATAAGCCTTCGTCGATAAGGGGCATGAGCGAGTCGATTGCGTCTTCGGAAAGGAGGGGGAATGGAGAGAAGAGGAGTGGGTGAACGAGGGATTGGAGGGCGCGCGTTTGGTGGGTGAGATGTGATGTGATTGAGGAATGAGCGGTGATAAGTCTGCGATTAGAGATTAGATATCGGGGTCGGTGGTATTGTATTTATAACTTCCAAGATAGTAAATAAACATGAACTTACCTCATAGCACTGTTTTCAATCCCACTCTGTCCACCGAGATCTTTCAAAGACTCAACCGTCCGCTGAATGACACGGTCATTTTCACTTCCGTTGTTCTCTATACCCCGCCGAGCGAGACTCTCAATCTCGGCCATTTGGCTCTCCAAGGCGGGAGACATATCCGCCTCCTCTAGATCGGAGTCAGGTCCATAATCCGAGCCATCATATTGCGACTCCTGCCGGCGGTGCTGTCGCAAATGATTTGCACGGTTTTTGTTTCTTGGCGGATGGAGCGAATCTCTTTCTGACGAGATGGAAGGCGACCGGGAGCGCACGCTGTGCGCTGATTGCATATACATGTCTTCTCCATCACTGTGACCCATCTGTTGTGACCCCGCACGACTGGCTTCCTGGCCTGACGCATATCCATATCCATCTTCCTCTTCTCCCCAGGCATCAGCTAGCTCATCGGCCAGGTTTCCCAGTCCTCCGCCGCCTGCATCAACAGCGCCAGAGAAATCTCCGGATCCACGGTGGGACCCACTCATGGCGTTTGAGTTATGGCGCGACGCGATGGGAGATGGTGGTGCAGATAATCGGGGTGTCCGCGGTGATCGGGGACTTGCAAGAGCAAAAGTATTCCCAGTTGTTCCGGGAGAGATGGGTGAGTCGTCTGAGGCCGATGGGTAGCGGTGTGAGAGTTTCAGGGGAGACGGAGGGAGGGGCATTGGGCCGTTTGGAGGTATCACACGGGACCTCCTTGGTTGGCGGAAGCTTTATTGAGGGAGCCGAAAGAGCCAAATTAGGGCAATCTAGCCAGAGAAAAGGGACAGACGGTTGTAGTCCAGCTGCAGAGGAACAGTTGTTAATTAGAATGCCCAATTGGATGTTCCGATAGCTCCGGACCCGAGTCAATGTCGTAGTATAGCGCTGTGGCAATGGAACAAAGACCAAGCTAGGGTCAATTGATATATAGCAAACGTGAAAAAGGACCAACTTCTCAGCAAAAGAATGACTGCACCACCAGGATGCAGGAGGGGTACAACAACTAACAACTCAACTTAAACCCTCACCGCCGACTTCTACTCATCACCGCCCGGCAAAAAAAGAACAAGAGCATCAAACCCCACATTATCAACATTATCATTTTCACATTGACGATATACCATATCAAAATGACTTCGATTGAGCGCATGTCCCCATTGGACCTGCTAGACCTTAATCTCACAAACCTCGACCCTCTTACTGAGAATTATGATCTCGGCTTCTACTTAAACTACCTGAACAAATGGCCTTCATTGTTCAGCACCGTCAAGGATCATGAGGCCGGCATCGTAGGTTATAGTATGTTCAATTCTAGCTCTAACTCGGCCGAATTCTCCCCAATTCCCATGGAATGTACCTGACATCTTAATTTAGTCATGGGCAAGCTCGAAGAGCAACACCCTGCAATGCGCCACTCCGAGCATTACACACCATGGCACGGACACATCACAGTCTTGACCGTCGCCCCAGCCTGGCGCCGTCTCGGATTTGCCCGCAGGTTGACTGAGCAACTTGAGCGAGGATCCGACAACAACAACGCCTGGTTTGTGGATCTCTACGTCCGCGCCGGAAATAAAGTTGCATATGACATGTACAAAGGAATGGGGTAAGTGAAACGATGTAGATGCGCGAATGCTGAGTTGAATGCTGACATGTGTATGTACAGATACTCCGTCTTCCGGCGGGTGGTTAATTATTATAGCGATGATCCATCGGGCATGTCGGAGAATGGGGAAGATGCGTTTGATATGCGCAAGCCGTGCAGTCGAGATAAGAAGCTCGAGCATGTACGAGAAAATGGTGAGAATTTCCCTGTTGGGCCGGAGGATGTGATGTAAACCAATCTTCTTTTTGTGGGTTTTATTGAAGCAGCCGTGGATGGCATTTTCTTTTTCTCTATTTCTATTGCCTTTTTCTTCGAGGGGTTCTCATCGCATGGAGGGCTTATGCAGGGCTGGGGGTTTTATTATATTTCCTCGTATAAAATCAGACATAGTATGATTATAATTATTGTTTGCATTTTCCGTCTAAGTACATCATGAAATGCGCCGTGTCTCCCATTGACTGGATAGAAGCAAAACGAGTTGGAGGTAATACAATATGCATAATGATGGCCAAATTATGAAGCCAATGGTATCCTATCGTTGTCCCAACATTTTTATGCCAAGAAATAAATCGAGCCAGGTTGAAACCTGAAACCTCTGTGGGGGTGATGGGTATATTTTATAAGACATTTCAGGAGCCAGCAGCCGAGACTCAAGCCTTGACATGGAGCTTAAGACCGGAGCGCAGAAATCTGACACAGGCCATAAGAACCGCAGAGGTAGTGAGACAGCAAGCGGTGAAAAGCTGAACACCGAGGAATTCGTTTGTATCAGCCAAGATTGCACCACCAATGGGGGTACCGATCAACAGGCCTATAGAAGTGATAGCAAAGACCATGCCCAAGCGAGTGCCTAGGTCTCGCACGTCCGGAGTCATGCTCGCCATGACCACAGGCGGCAGGGAAACAAATCCACCCGAGAAGAAACCATAGAAGACGGCAAGGATGATGATGCCAGGTACGGTATGAACACCGATCCAGACGAACGCTAGGGTAGCAGTGATGGTCACGGCGGGAGTGAGCATATTCAGAGGACCAACGTGGTCAGCGAGGAAGTTGGGCGTAATACGACCTAAGGCCGAGGCTGCGTTTAACATGGAGAGTAGGTAGAACCCCAGGTTGGCGTCTACAATGCCTGTCTCTATTGCATATGACTGCACATAGAAAAGGAAGTTGTAAAAACCCAAGAAGCCCATGAACATAGCAATGGCGAAGACAGTAAAAGCCGGTTCCTTTAAAGCAGACAATTGGTAGAGCTTGCGTTTCTCTTTTGGCTGGAAGCGCGAGCGCATGATGCTAATGGAAATGCAAATGGTGCCGAAGCACACGAACCCAAGTGCGCGAGTAGCCCAGGCAACGCCGACCTTCTTCTGCAACTGATCGAACATGATTGGGTAGATCACACCACCGATACTACTGCCACTGGCAGCCAAGCCGTTGGCCAGACCTCTCTTGCGGCGGAAGTACTGTGGCAGGATGGCGACGGAGGGCACGAAAAGACAGCCTGCTGCGAGTCCGACGCAAATGCCCTGGGAGAGAATCAGCTGCCAGTACTTCGTGGCAAGACTGGTCATCATCAAGCCGAAGGGTAGTAGGAATGCTGCGAAGATGATGAGGGATCGAAAGTAGCCAGCGTCAAACAGGGGACCTGTAATGACTCCAATCATCATCAAAAGGAAAGACTGCAGCGATCCAATCCAGGCAATGGTTGACGATGAAGTACCGGCTAGTAACTCTCGCTCATAATAGGTTTGATATGCACCCCATGTATTGATAATGCCCCTATTTCAAGTGGTTAGCAATATGATTTCTATATCAAAGAATATATTCTTACCATGAATTGAAAAAGAGAAAGAATGAGCCCAAAACTTGGAGCCATGTGTTTAGCCCAGTATCGAATGTCAACTCGGGTTCTTTGTCTGTTGAATGTGATATATTGGGGTTGACATTTTCTTGAGTTGATGAAGAATTAGCAAGAATTTTTTGCTCTATATCCACGCTAGTTGACCCCATGTTGTTTGATGTATCGATCAAATAGATGCCGCTCACGGGTGAGCGTGAAGATCTTAGCTGTGTAATGATATAAAATCAAGACGAAATAATAATATACGACATCTATGGAATTTTCAGTGGCTTATAACCCCCCAAGTTAGCGGGGTTTAGCTTGGATCTCCCGAGGTCGGCCATTCGGCCATTCAAGATATCAAACGGCAAATCGGTTGCCCTGGTGCCGAAACTGGTCTAGTCACTAGTGAGATCCATAAGCTGAGTTGGATGCAACATTGCGAACAGCCGAATCCGCTTTTTTACCGTGAATATCCGTCAAGCGAGAGGATGATCCTAGTATAAAGATCAGGATATACCTGCAATGCAGGATGAATGTGTGCGTATGACTTGTGTATTCCAATATCCTGGTCGTGAGTTGAATTATACTTGGAAAGATACGAAGCATGAAGCATATCAAAATCATTCAGGCTATTGAAATCCCAACATTTTCCACGTGGGTTATATGCGCTATAATTGCTTCTTCTATAAAGTCAAAGTAGGTATATGCAAGAAGATAAACAGATCAAATTATTTTTAGATATGTTTTTTTTTTTCCCGTTCTAGATACATGTACAAAGTCTCATTGATGTCCATGTTTCATCAAGGACATCCAAGTCTCTTTTTTTCGACGGGTTCTTCGAATCCCAGAACTCCAAACGCTATGCTGAAACCCAAAGAAAAGCAAAAGATGGAAAACAGCCTCCGTGGGGAACGGTACTGTTTTGACCACTACAACAGCTCCTCACATGTCCAATCCTCATACCTAAAGTCGAACACTGTTAGATATGATTCGCCACTCATTTTGGACAGCGTGTTGCTTACCATCCATCGGGCAGGTATCGGCGAATGATCAGGGGAATCTTCTTCTGGTTCAATTCCTTCATGGCGATCTGCAGGGGATCGGTCTCACCCTCGAGATCGACAAGAACGGGGGCGTTCATACTATGACAAATGTCAGCAAGCCTAATCTAACGGAATGTATGCGCAATTGTCTGCATCACAAGGAACGTACCTGATCTGCAGGGCACGGGTACCGAGAACACGCGCGCGCTCATACTTGGTCAAGTACGGGGTGGTGGTGCGCTGATCATTGGGTACTTTCTTTTCGCGCGACTGCTCCATCACTTTTCCTGCGTATCCGGCATTGGGATCGCCAGAGACAACGACATTCTCGCCGTTGGTGGTGGGGTAATCTTCTCCCTCAACCCCGTCTTCGCCCTCGAGGCCTTCGTGTTCCTCCGGCTCCTCATCAAACACATCCTCGCCGGGCTCGTAGTCGAAGCTGCGCACACCACATTGTTAGAAAATGGGGCTATGCAAGCATGTGCGAACACATTGTGAAGCTGCCCGGCGGCAAAATGGAAGCAAAGCTCCTTTGCGCCTGGTCACTGGGCAATCTGGTGAAGGGAGATAGCTTACGTCTCTTCGACGTCGTCGTCGTGGCCGTAGTCAGACATAATGACAATTAAACCTGTAAAGGAGCGAAGTATTCGTAGGCCGAAGCGAGCGATGAAAGACCCAGAGGTATGAGAGACAAGTCGGGGGAGTCGAGGTGGGATTTGATGCTAAAAATCCTGGGAGCGGAAAAACTTCCTCTGTGTTGACCGTCACCGCCTTTCTGGCAAAAATAAAATTATTAGTTCGACATTCATGTTCGAACTTCCTTGTGCCCTGAGATACTTTCTCTTTCTCAATCGTCCTTTTCAGGACTTCTCATGATGGCCTTGAAACGGAAGGCATCATCTGACGGGGTCACAACCCCCAAAAGACGCCAGAAGCAGACTGTCCTGGATAATTCCGGTAAGTTTACGTCCCTGTACAATAAATATCCGATAAACTGAATCAATCACTGACCATTCTACAGACATGATCTATGAGGAGACTCACTCCGACGATGAGTACTCAGCTCCTGGATCTCCAAGCTTAATGAGCGAAGGCATGGACGATTCTCCGGCGACCCCATTCTCGGTCACCTCTTCCCGACGTGAGCGATACCCATCCGAGTTCAAAACCCTGCCTTGCCCATTCGAAGGGTGTGATAAGGCCTTCAATCGTCCGGCTCGACTCCAGGAGCATCTCCGATCACACAACAACGAAAGAATCTTCAAGTGTGACGCCGAAGACTGCGACAAAACATTCTTACGCATTACCCATCTTCAACATCATGTCAAGAGTGCACACACAAATGTTCGAGATTACGTTTGCGAATACCCTGGTTGTGGAAAGAGCTTTGTGAACGGGTCACGGCTTCGTCGACACGTTGCTACGCACGATGGACATGATAAGTACCGATGTACCGAACATCCACCTTGCAACGAGACATTCCGGAAACACTCGACACTACAGAAACATATCACAGTTGTGCACTTGAAACAGAAGCCATTCCCATGTAATCACGTTGACCCAATCACGAAGGAGAAATGCGACATGGCTTTTGACAAGGCTGGTAATCTACGGACTCACCAGAGCAGAGTCCATTCCGAGAAACGATTCACTTGCGCAGAATGTGCCGAAAATATGGAAGCACAATCATCCGAAATGGCCGACGACAGTGCAAAACAGGATGTATCATTCCCCACATATGCCAGTCTACAAAACCACATTCGGATTGTTCACCCTCCCAAATGTCCCGAATGTCCATTGGTATGTTCCACAGCACGGGGACTGCGACAGCACCTTGAGATAGCCCATGGCAACGTTACTCTCGAAGAACGAAAGATCTACCCCTGCACCGTTCCTGGTTGTGGGCAGAGCTTCACCAAGCAAGGCAACTTGACCGTCCACGTCCGCACAGTCCACCAAGGCGAGAAACGGTTCGTCTGCGGCGAAACAGATCTCTCAAAATCCACCAAGCTGGATGGATGGGACGGTGTCGGTTGTGGCAAGCGCTACGGCAACAAATTGACACTCGAAGACCACATCCGCGTCACACACCTGGGTCTCCCGAATGCCAGGAAACGACGTCAAGCAAAGACGAGCAAAAAGCCGATGCAGAATTCCGTTTCCACTCTTTCCGCTCTCACGGGCCAAGGCTATGCCGAGGAAACAGGACGACAGATTGCATGCTTCTACCACGAAACGTGCCCACATCGTTTCCATCGCAATTACGATTTGTGGGTACATATGACGACCAAACACCACTCCACGGAAGACGAGGTCCAGAACCTGTTTATGCAGCGTGCATTGCTTACTGATGAATCCAGTCCCGGGGTCAACTCGCTGGGAATCTATGGTCTTGGATATGATCAGGATGGTCAGTCTTACTACCAACAATCTCAATCATATATGACAGGAGATCATTCCTCGGATATTGCTTTCGGCTCACAATCGAACGATTCGTCTTATCTCCCCAGTCAGCCGGGGTTGGATTCTGATTATTTGATGCAAGACGATTTCCCAATGAGGGCAGTTGACAACATTTGATTCTTTAATACTCGATATTGATTCTATAATACCCAGCCGTGATTAGACGGTGCTGGTTGGCCCTGTCAATACTTACCATGTGATGGAACAATGATGAAGGGCATTTCTACGATTTTATGATTATGTATCTAGCGTTAATGCGTACCCGTGGACGTTTCTTTAAAGAAAGTCCCCATTCCTTGACAGCATGTTGACTTCATTCGTGTTTAGCCTGACAAATTTAATCCACGAAGAACCGGTTTCAAGATGAATACATTGATACCAACCATATACCCAGCTTTTAGAGATCGTATTATCAGGCCTACAGACCAGGGCACCCTCATCTTATAACTGGCTTATCCCTATTTTCATATTACCCTCCTGAAATAACATGCTGCCCAATGGTTGGAAATATGGCATGAGATAGTTATCTAGAGTTACAACATACTACCTGTTGTGAAATTGGTGTGTCTCAGATAAGTCAGGCTTCTTGCTAGCTCTTGATGTAACTGTGTATGAATAGATGCGAGATGCGATCTTCCGGTTCCATCCACTCGTATTCACCCATCTCTGTTCTCAGTATCCTTTTTCATCCTATGCCTTTTCATCCTTTCTGTCTCTCATTCCTCACCACAGGAATCGGAAGAGTGGCCACCGGAGTACTCACTGTTGAACCCCACGAACTGCGCCAGCCAATGATTCTCATAAGCCCCAGTCCACAGGCCTTCCTTCATTATATCAACTAAACCCCAGGGGATCTGTCTAGCATGATCCTGGAAAGGAGGAGACCTAAGCACAAGCACCGGGTCATCATTATTTTTCTCCTCCCAGACAAGGGTTTGCAGGGGGTTGTCCCAGGCAATAGCGTTATCATCCCTACACCAAAGCGAGGGGGAAATCATCAACCGCTGCTCGGCCCGGTTGTTCCGCTCATTCTGTTTCCGGATTTTTTTCGGGATGGCGCTCGTGTGCGTGGATATCGCTTTCCAGATTGGAAAACAGCAGGTGCAATTCGACAGGGTCCCAGGGGAATCTCAACATTCCGGCTATATGCTTGCAGAACTCCACTTGAACGGCGTTTGCTACGTCAACGCCGTAGATGGTGAAGAGTCGGACGATGTCGCAGAACAGATGGACTGCTGGGAAGCCGCGGGCGAGAGCTAACCATTGGCTGACCCAAATCAGTAAGATCATGATTTGGTCGTCGTAGTGGTCCAGGTCGGTGATGCGTACGAGTTCAATGCCTGGTTGGCTTGAGAGAAGGACTGTTGGTGGTTGAGGGTTCTCTGGTGGTATGAATCCGAGGGTTTGAGCGGATTTCGGATCGTTGTCAATGACGAGTTGCTTCGCTGCCAGGGCTTTCCTGTCGTACTGCTCCACCACTGGAGGCCAGCGATCCCAGTACAGTGGTCCGTTGCAGGCTTGTAGGCGGTATTCTCTGAGGTGCTTTGTTACTTTCTGCTCTTTATCCCAGGCAGGACAGGGGTCATAGATTGTGTCTAGAGATGTTTAGAAAGCCAGTTCATTTGGAGGACATGAATGGGGTGTTTGCAAACATTGCTCGGTGTCTGTAGTCATTGAAATAGTTTGGGATATTGCGTAGAGATTCCTGAAGCTCAACCACTTCCATGTATGAGTCAAACAGCGAGCAAAGGAGATACGCAAATGATCCAGGGAGAGTGTCAGTTTTGAAACCATGAAGATAGGAAGCTATCATATCTGGTAAATCATTTAGCTTGAAGCCGATGATGAAGTTTGAGACTTCTTCTCGCAAAGCATCGAGTTCACCACCCTGCTCAGCTTTCCACTGCAGGATTTGTTGCATGGGCTTTTCATATAAAAATTCAGGGGACCTGTAAATGATTTTAGGTCTAGGGCATGATATCGGTTCATAGATCTGGTGGAGATCCAATGCATTGAGAAGATGTGGGAGGTCTTCATCATCTTTAACCTTGACTTCCTGTCGTGGAACTGTGCACCTGCGCATCTTGACCAATATTCGCGGGCTGGAAGGCACGTAAATATCCTAATGATTTAGCTCCGGGGTTATGTACTAGAAAACCATTCAAGAGTCAGACAGAGTGATCGTAGTGATTGACCATGCAGAGGGAAGTATGCGCCTGGGAAATTAGTCCCGTTAGAACCACAGCTCAGCCATAGTCCAGCGGCTGTAACCAATCATCAAGAAACCAGAGAGAGATGAGATGAGAGGAAAGATGACACAATGAAGGATCTCAGATCCATGTCTCTAGTCCCAGGTCTCTCGATTCTATCATGATGTTCTAGTATAGGTGAGGCTGGGAGAGGGGACATACTGCGTGCTTGTCGGCATTTCACTTACTGTCTGTTCTGGGGTGACCCCACGAATGAAGTGCCCAGATGGACAAATTCAAATTAGAAAATGGGAAGAACGATGATGTCGGATGGTCGGTGAAGCACAAAGTTGAAATGGTTGGGAGAGGAGACCAAGGTGATGGGATGGGGAAAGAACGATGAGGAAAGATGAGTGATGGGGAAATCACAGGTGAACTACGTCCTACGCTTTCCAGGTGCTGGTTGCTGATTACTGGCCGATACGCGTTGGCGTTACCTCGCAGCACCAAAATTCTTCATGTCATGTTCATGTTATCAGACAGATCGCGTATATTTCGCTTGAATGTGTGGCATTTAAACAAACAAGGAAATACCCCAACGTAGAAATATTCCAATACAAGACTGAAGGAGATGTCTACTGGAGATGCAGATGTATAGTGTGCCAATGTGCCAAGGTTCACCTCCTTAGCTCCCGAACCAGAAATTTACTAATCCCCTTTGGGTATAGCTCTCTCTCTCTCTCTCTATAAATTTGTACTGAACACGAACATAGGTAGGTAGAAACCCTTCTTAGCTTAACCCTCGGGCTTGGACGGAGATAAATTTCGGATTTTGAAATCAGAATCCGATTTACCCAACACTCCGACCCAAATCCGCGCAGGTGAAAGAAGCTCCTAATCAATTACGGGCTTCGGAGGGAAAGTCCGCTTCATTCTACACCCAGATATCCATGTACTCCATTTATAATCAACAGTGGAATTAAAAGTATATAACTATGATATACCATTATCAAGATCCTGCAGTAATCATAGTATCATACCAGCATAAATTCTTCCCCCACAGCACTTGACTAGAATGGCCGAGACGGGATATTCCACTCCGGATGAGCCTCCTATAGACTCGTCCAGCTCGGCAGAAAAACGATATGACGCTGAGATTAGTACCTCCAGCTACGATACAGAACTTAAGCGCGAATATCCTTCGGGCCTGGCGGTCACTCTTATCCTGACATCAGTTACTCTGGCCTATTTCCTATTCTTCCTGGATCTGGCTGTCATTTCCACGGCCACTCCGGCCATTACAACCCAATTTGACTCGTTAGTGGATGTCGGTTGGTAAGTACATACTCATTTGGTGTTTTTCTTTTTTTGCAAGATACTAATCTATCCGATCTAGGTATGGCGGCGCCTACCAGCTTGGAAGCGCAGCATTTCAGCCCTTAACCGGCAAGATTTACAGCCGGTTTTCCATCAAGGTATATTTTGGATTACCTTTATTCACGACTCACAGATCATGAATACGAAAGCAAATTCTAACAAGATCATCATATAGTGGACCTTTCTTGTCTTCTTCGTAATCTTCGAAGTTGGATCTGCTATCTGCGGAGCAGCGCATTCGTCGGCCATGTTCATCGTCGGTCGTCTTATCGCGGGTATTGGGTCTGCTGGAGTGGCCAACGGCGCAGTAACAACCATCTCCGCCGTCCTCCCAACACAGAAACAGGCCCTTTTCATGGGACTCAATATGGGTATGGGCCAGGTGGGCCTTGCGACTGGGCCTATAATTGGAGGTGCATTCACGACGAATGTATCCTGGCGGTGGTGTATGTTAACTCCACTTCTCTCACGGAGATCCCCAAAATGCTGACTTTTCTCACATTAGGTTTCTACATTAACCTACCCTTGGGCGTTATCGTCGGCGGATTTCTCCTCTTCAATACAATCCCCGAGCCGAAACCTAAGGATCCGCCTCTGCAGATTCTCAGCTCTGTCATCAAATCTCTCGATCTCCCAGGATTCATGCTTATTTGTCCGGCGGTCGTCATGTTCCTCCTAGGGCTCCAGTTTGGCGGCAACGAATACGCATGGGATAGCTCAGTTGTGATAGGCTTGCTAGTCGGCGGCTGCGCTACCTTTGTTGTCTTCCTGATCTGGGAATGGAGACAAGGGGATAATGCTATGGTGCCGCTGGCTATGCTTAGACACCGCGTTATCTGGTCGGCTGCGATGACAATGTTCTTCAGCTTGTCTAGTGTTCTTGTCGCTGATTTTTACATTGCAATTTATTTCCAGGCAATCCACAACGACACGCCCCTAATGAGCGGTGTTCATATGCTTCCAATCACCCTCGGCATCGTTCTATTTACTATGATCTCCGGAACCATGAGTAAGTGTTTCCAGTCGAAATTTCATCTACTAACCGTCGCTAATACTAAAAAGTTTCCGTTTTGGGCTACTATCTCCCATTCCTTCTTATGGGGGTGTCATCTCATCTATTGGCTACGGACTCATGTCGACATTGGATACTACAACTCCTGTTGCAAAATGGATCGGATACCAAGTTCTCTACGGTGTTGGAAGCGGTTGTACGACTGCAGCCGTAAGTTTGATATTTCTAAAGTTGCCAAACAATAGCCCCCGTACTAATTCGCATCTTTCATTTAGCCCTATATAGCCATTCAAGGTCTCGTGGCCCCAGAGCAGATCCCCCTTGCTATGGCTATTATCATCTTCGCACAAAACATGGGTGCTGCCACATCTCTGATTGCTGCAAATGCTATCTTTAGCAATAGCCTTCGTTCCGAGCTTCAAAAACGCGCTACACAAATTAGTGTTTCTCCAGACGCGATTATCAATGCTGGAGTCCGCTCTATCCGTGAGATGGTGTCTAGCTCTGAGCTAGCCGCTGCCCTCGAAGCATACGCTAAAAGCATCGACAAAGTTATGTATCTCGGTATTGCTGTTAGCATCGCTGTTTTGGTGTTTTCTCCGGGACTTGGATGGAAGGATATTCGGAAGGCCAAGCTTCAGGTCATTACTGATAAGTCTCCTGATAGAGGTGATAAAGATTCGGCTGTGGTTGGTGAGAAGTAGGGTCGTTAGTCGGCAATGGAGTGGGAAATTTGGAGGACTATAGCTATCATTCTTTATAAGGTTACAAATCTACGGACGCGGGTAGTTAACTGGTTATTTCACTGTCGTTTTGGGGGAATTGGAATTGGTTTTATCAGGAACCTTGTCCGGGCAGTTCATACAACATTTAATGTTTTCTTTTATCACATTTTTCAATGCCCTATAAAAAGTTGTTCAATGAGAAAAGGTAATACAAGTGATCCGCATTCACACCTAGGCATAGGAATGGCCTGTATACGTGCATTTTTATTTTGATCGACAAGCACACCGAGTGAGAGAAGTCTTGGTTATGCAGCGAGATGATTGACTACCGTATGCACAAAGCTACTAAGAAGTTGCGGTAATCTGGTATATTGCTCAAACTATATATCTATCCTGTACTGCCATAATTCAAATCCATCCTAGGCACTGGGTATCTTTCCTAACTAAGTTAAAGCGTCACGACAAGTTTCTTTCCCGATACCCCCTTCCTCTGAAGATGGAGAGCCTCTTGTATCTTGTCAAGTCCCTTACCCACAACATGCGGAGGAGGAGCTGGCACAAACTGGCCCTGTTCAAGCGCTTGCGGTAGGAAACTTGTGTAGATACGAGAGACGACGCCATCAGGGTCAACCAGGTCATCGACAAGGATGAATTTGGCTTCCACCCCAGTCCTGATACGCGTCCCAGTCGATTTAATCATGCCGCCCATCATACCCATCAAGTACGTACCTTTACCAACAAATGTCGTAAGTTTTTCAGCAGGTATGATGGCGCCGGCCACAGCAATGAATTTCCGGGTGAGCTTGGGATCATGTTTCTTCATAACTGCAGTGCATGTCTGGACAGCACCATCCCCAATTGTATAGGCACCGACGAGCTCATGGTCTTTCAGAGCGCCGAGAAGATCCTCGACTAATGTTTTGCTCTTGTAATCGAACACCTGGGTAGCACCGAGACCCTTGACATAGTCAAAGTTCTTCGGAGACGACGTGGACAAGACCTGGTATCCAGCAGCGACAGCAAGCTGTACGGCGTTGCTACCAACACTCGAAGCGCCGCCAGTGATGACCACAGTGCATGGAAAGCCTGATTTTCCTACAACTTTAGTAGGAGCTGGGATCTGAGGCATGTCGAGACCCAGATAATCTGGATGGAAGAGGCCGTATGCGGCAGTTCCAAGACCCAGTCCCAAGACACAGGCCTGTTCATCGGTGATGGTCGGTGGAATTGGCGTCAACATGTTCTGTCTCATGACTGTATAGAGCTGAAAAGCTCCCTCAGCCGGACGGTTGACCTCTTTTGCAATGGCCGCAGCACTGCCGCAGACTCGGTCGCCTACGCGAAAACGCTCCACATCGGGACCGACCTCAACGACTTCACCGGCGACATCCGTGCCGAAGATGAAAGGATACTTGATGTAACCGGCAAGTACTGGGCCGATATACTGCAACACCCAGTCGAAAGGGTTGATGGCCACGGCGGTGTTTTTGATTACGACTTGGCCCAAGCTAGGGCGGGTGTAGGGTGCGTCGCCGACTTTAAATGGTAGGACCTTTTTTGCGGGGATCCAGGCTGCTTGATTCACTGGTGCCATTTCTGCGGAGGGAAGAGGTTGGTGTGCAAAATGAAGCAGCACCGGTTAGACGGGATGGCGTGTATAGGAGCAAACGAAAGCAAAAATAAAATCCGCAGAAGACTTGAGCGGAGTTATAAGTACATGCATCGCTATGATAAGACTTAAAAAATCTGAAAGGTTTAGGGGTTGTAAAGCGAGTGTATACAATGGACGGAATTGAACGGTATTCAGGCCGATGTCCGGTGTTGAGGTCCGGTTGAAGTCCGGTTGAGGCATTGCGCCTTAGGGTTCGTTACGGCCCGAGCGGTATCATTCTACCTTTATCCCCGAGGTCGACATGTTCTAGTCCACCCCACACGCTGCTTCCAAGGCTGCTTTGCATTGGTGGAATAAGATAGCGGCACGATGTCTCTGTTCGGCTATGCAGAATCTAGCTGCAGCGACGTCTGCATATTAGTGTCATCTCAGCGAGAAACTTTATTTTGACACACACAATCTGCTCAAAACTCAACCTCAGTTCATCTTCTGCATATCTTCAACATATCTTCAACATATCATCTTGGAAAATTACATTATCCGATAGATTTAGGCCTAATTCGATCCGGTCTTGGAGCTGCTCTAAGCCAGAGATAAAGGAAGGTGGACCTTTTTATATGGGGTTTGTTTTAGAAAGATGCATCGGATTGATCCACTAATTTTCTTTATAGAGAGCTTCGTATCTACCTATGTAGGAATGTTGATACCAAAAAGGAAACGTTGGAAACGTTGAAAACCTTGGAATAACTTTATTTCCTCCAATAGGCTCATATGAACCGTGGAACCCCCCCCCGCACAGCCACGTTCAAAGTTGAAAAAGTTGGGGAAAGAGGAAAAAAAAGAACCCTCCTCTTTTAGCAGAATGATCTACATTTTTTTTTTTAATTTAAAGTACCGATGACGCGTTAGGTCAGATCTCCATGGGGCCACGCTGATCCTATGCTGCAGGTGAGAAAATCATTGATCCATTTAATCTTTTAATCTCATGCCAAGCCTGCGACCGGCCGTATAATACCTGGGCATTGCACGGAGGTACCGAGGATTACTGCGTGCTCCACACCAAGACGTTCATATCCACCACATAATGCACCATGCCTAATACAATTGTGTCGTTTGAAGGTTACCTGAGCAATGTGGCTGGAGTGCCCTAATGCAGGAGTGAAAAGGCCCGTGTGTGAAAAGCTCATGAACTATACATTCGGATCCCGGCGGGGCAAATAGAAAATAGGGGACGAAATTAGTACCTGAATTGTATGATGTACGGAGTACAGTAGGTGAGAATGGAATCCATTAAATAATAGGCTTCCCGGCGGTGAAAGGGTATATGCAGACTCAGGCGGACCAGATGTGCAGATGATATGTGGATCTGTAGGCAAGAAAAGCAAGAAAGGCAACGTGTCAAGAGTCCTGTGAGAGTGTGAGAGTCCGAAGTGGCAATGAAACTGCAGAATTTGCCAAGCCCAAGTTCACATCCGGCTGTCTTTTTTGACATCCAGTGGGGATTAGAGTCTTGGCTACTCCGTAGAATGGGGGGTTGTTATAGAATTAAAAGGGGGGGTTAGAAGAGGAAATATTAAGTACGGAGTCCTCCGTACGGAGTATCACTCAGGGGAATCATAACATACCTAGGTACCTTACAAAGTATACCCCGTTGTGTTCGAACATAAGACATCTATAGCTATATTTATCCACCATGCATACTACTAGTCTACTTATAGTTCCATTGTCTCTCCACCGATAATCCAAGAGGGTCGGGGATGACGCCAATTAAAAACCTTTGTTCAAGGTTCCAGTGAGAGAGAAAAAAAAAAAAAAACCAAAGTAGAAATTGGCTCGGCTTCGGTTTTTAAGTGTCACACGAGAGAATAATATATTAATATAATAATCGTTGGGAGTTATAAGTTTATTATTGGTGTAGCGTGGAATGTTTAGTCTCTTTCGCCTCTCTCGGGACTTGCCCAAATGACCGTAGTTCTGTTTCTGGTTCTCTCTTTGGCCTTCTCTCCTTCTACCTCTTCTTACAATCCTCCTATTATTCCAATTTATCCCATTCCTCTTCTCCTTTTCTCTCTCTTTTGTCCCTGGAAATAAAACAAAAAACAAAACCAAAAAAAACCAAGGAACGTTAATCCCGGTGATTAGCGAAGACGTACCCAGCTTGTAACGTCATCTTCCTTGGCAGAGCTCGATTTCCCTAAACTCCTAAACTCCGACCCAACCACTCGTTCTCATTCATTCTTATTCTTCCTTCACCTTGTGTGTGGATTTGGATTTTATGGATTGACCTCTCTCATATTCGGTCCAGGCGCAGTCGCTATTTGACAGTCTCTCGTTCAGCGCAATTCGACCTACCTCGGACAGTTTCCTTTTAAATCCCACCACGCTCCAGTCTTTTTCCTTACTTTCAACACGTTTCACAGTCAAACTCACTGAGGGGTAATACTCAAAAAGACTACTGAGGTTCTTGTCTAGCACATCACATTCCGACGTCATGGGTCGTTCGCGTGGTAAGTCGATCCTTCCCGGGTATGCCGGGAAGTGCACTAGAGCCCGTTATTGACTCTCCCTTGCGTTTTACTAGTTCGCTCGTTTATATCCAGTTTGGGGGGATCGAGGCACAATGATTCTGCTAAAGAAAGCAAAAAGTTGTCGAAGAATGTTACGCCAGTGGCCAACGCGACTCCGTCCGATATACCACCCCAGTGGCAAACCCCTCCCGATACACCATCTCCTCCGACCGAATCACCGTCCCCTGTGAGCTCTGGACCAAGAGGCGGAAATAGCTCACGGCCGGCATCCATGATCTTTTCACGCAACCCGCCTCTCATGCAACAGGCAGGTGATACCCCACCGGAGCTATCGCCAATATTTTCGTTCCTCAATATCCACACAAGCAAGGTCTACCATGAAGGATACTTTCTCAAACTGAATGATCAAGATTCTCGTAAGTCAATATCTACCCCCCTCCCGGCGCCTTGCGGGGAAAAGTGGGCTAACACGTGGCAGACGGACGACCTTCTGGTGATCGGCAATGGGTGGAATGCTACGCACAACTGGTCGGAACTGTCCTTTCACTGTGGGATAGCGCTGCGCTGGACGCAGCAGGTGGAGAAGAGGTCCCGGCGACCTTTATTAACTTGGCCGATGCGTCTATTAAGATGGTGAGCTTTAGCCTCCCAGGATTATCAGGCATGGACTCACCAGTTACTCGCAGATTGAGACACTTCCAATCCAAAATGGAGCTATACAACCACTGAAGAACGTACTCAGCCTTTCTTCTGCAGGCAAAAATCGATACCTCTTGCATTTCAATTCTTTCAACTCACTAACCCAATGGACTGCCGCGATTCGTCTCGCCATGTTCGAACACACTTCTTTGTATGAAGCTTACACCGGTTCTTTGATTGCAGCGAAAGGAAGAACCCTCAACGGAATCAACTCTATCATGGCGCCCACCAAGTTCAAGTACGAGGATTGGGCACGTGTAAGATTTGGAGCAGGAACCCCGTGGAGACGGTGCTGGTTTGTGATCAGCCCGCCAGACGAAAAGGAGCTTCACAAAGCGCGGAAAGCCATGAAGAAATCGGCATATGACCGATTGACAATGCCTGTTACTGGAAACATCAAGTTTTATGAGACGAAGAAGACGAAAAAAGTGATTCCCATTGCAACGGTTACCCAGGTTTATTCTGCATATGCGATTTATCCACAATCCAAGGCATTAATTGATGCGTCCACCCTGGTGAAGTTGGAAGGACGGATCACCACGCACTCGCCGGATTCTTCCTCGGAGGGCCTTGTTTTTGTCATGCCAGAGCCACATCCTGCGGTTTCTGGATTGGAGATGATGCTGCGCTTCCTTTTCCCGACATTCGATACTTTCAATCTCTATGGCCGTCCTACCCGCCTAGTGGCAGACACTAATCACATTAAGAGTATCATGTTTGCCTTCCCCAAGGAACGACGCTACGGTTATCTTGATCTGCTTGACATTTCCAATCTTCTTCAAACCCCGGGAAGCCAAGAATGGAGTGAAGCTCAGTGGAGGAAACAGCTCAAAGAGGCGACACAGCGCCGAATTTCGTCTGGCAGGAGCAGAACCAACAGTGTGAACAGCACGAGACCTCGTTATCGCTCGATGTCTGGTCGAACCAGTGACATCCCTATGGACTCTACTCGCCGCCAGTTTGCTGGTCTCGAGAACAAGCCTGAATTCAACAATTCTACTGAGGCTATTATTCATGAAGTCCCCCAAAACGAGGGTTCACCCGTTGTGTATCACAACCGCGTGGTTTCTGATACCACGGGCTTTAACGTTGGCTCTCGACTAGGCCAGGGATCTTTACTTGAGAGCTCACCTGACTCGTCTTCTCAAGATCTGATGCAGCGTGGTGTTCCAGCGGTCGCGCCTATCGCTGAAAGTCCCAGCTCCGGGAGCGACTTAAATCTTGACCGTCCCCGTGGCCCGCCAGTTGAAGAGCAGCTCCCTCCACGCACCCCACCGGCTCCCGTTGAAAATCCACCCGCATTTTCGCATGGTCCCAAGGAGATGCCCGCTAACCGGCCAGAGGCTTCTTCGGAGCAGAGGTTGGCAAACAACCGGATGTCTCACGGAACACTCGCGCAACTCGCATCAGTCGGAACGATGGGGCTGAGCGCGGCAGCCGCGGGTGCTGCATGGAAAAACCACCAGGCACAGACTACGAACAACCAACAGCCCCAGGGTCGGAGCTTCGACAGAGCCTGTGCTCCCGACCCCGCTGTGTCCACAAACTCTCTTGCAGCTTCCTCAAGTGACGATGACTTAGGTCTTGCATTCCCTGTTCTACCTCCCCCAGTTCCGGAGCACCGCCCAAACACACCTAGTACTACCGATAGCCCCCGGCGGGTTCCCCCCCCAGAAATATTCCCCTCAACGTATGCAGATTGACTCCAACAAATCCGTGCGACGCAAGCCACTCCCCCAGAGAACCCTTTTCGTGGCAGAGCCACAGTCACCAAGCGAGCCGAGTTTTGAGGATCTACGCCATACCCTTGATGAAGATGCTTTGAATAAAATTGCTCCTCATCTTCCATCCCCAGTCTCATCTACTGGAAAAAGAAACGGGAATGAGGACGAGAGCATTTATGATGATGCATCGACGGTTTCGCCTTACTATGCTAGCACCCACGGCTCTGTCTACAGCAAGAAATCCATTGCATCCACTAAACCTAGAATGGGTGTCATGAAGACTGTGGGAGTCCCAGCTGTCAAGGATTATGTCATTGGTGATGCTCATTATACTATGGACAAGCCCCCAACCTCGAACCCAGATATTCCCGCTGTGGACTTCGGCCCAACTATGACCTATATGCCTACTACTGGGCGGCCAACCACCTCAGACACCCTGAGAAGACCAATGCACCAACGCAATGATTCGTCGGGAACCAAATTTTCCGTTCCTACCCACGCAATCGATCAGGCTAATGCCCGGCCTTCCACCGGGGAAGAATTTCGACGGAGCATGCTGTGGCAGCCTGGAATGGCTTCCGGTCGCCCTGTTACTCCAGGTGGAGGACTTACACCGGAACAGTTCGTGCAGCAACGGGCGGCCCCCAGTCCTCCGATGCATCTCCACAATCGCACCCCTTCCAATCCTATGTCAGTACACCGTCCGGTATCTGGCGACTGGACGCAACATGTCCGTCCCAATTCGCCCATAACCCCTCACCGGGATCCCAACTATCGACCTTCCTCTCGTGGTGCCCAGGGTATGCTTAACTACAACGAGGCTTCAACCAATCTTTCCGCTCGTGAACAGGAGCACGTTGCCCGCATGACCGGTTCCTCATTCTTCAATATGTCAAATGACAACCGGAAGCCACAGGCGCCGGTGAACCCTATGGGCCTTGTCTCACATATCGATGCCCGGGAGCGCGAGAAGCGTGAAATGCGGGAGGGAATGTCGAACCAGGCGGTTCAACAGGCCATTGCGCACCGTCAACAACACATGATGAATCAGCAACAGTATGTGCCTCAGCAGTTCGCGCCGTCTTTCGCGCCGTCTTTCGCGCCATCGTTCGCACCGCCGTTCGCACCTCAGCCTATGCAGCCCCAACAGGCTGGTTCTGTGTATCCATCTCAACATGGCCGCCACGAGTCCATGTACAACATGCCGGCTGCCAGCCACACATGGGATGCCCTAAACCAGACGGCCCGGCCCGACGAACCCCGTCGATCATCCTGGTACGGACAGCTCGCGCAGGCTCCTCAAACACCACTTAGCTATCCACAAAGCCAGCCCTACGGGCAAGAGCCGAGGTACTACACCCACGCTAAATAAACCGGTTCCTCCCCTCAGGTCGGACTGGTCCTGTCACCCATCTATCGTTTTATCACAACCTCAACTTTCCTTTCAGCCCTTTAACTCCTCTTTCCCTGCACATCATTAGCAGCGTCATTCTTTTTTATGTTCAACTTGCCATTCCTATATACCTATCAACCTTTGCACTTGGCTTCCAACTCGTTCCTCCTGCACACATTCCTTCTCCTTGTACTCTCCAGCATCACTCATTATCATCTCTTTTATCTCATTGCTTTATTGCTTCTTTGCATCACGCATCCAACCGGAGTTCCAGATGGGCGTGGTGGGATCGTCCCTGATTTTTTTCATGCGAGTCCCTTGCTTATCATTATATCGGGGTCCTTGCCTTTTACTCTTCTTCTTTTATTCACATGTTTGTTTAGCATGTAGATCAGACTTGTGGAAATATGCGGCCTGTATGTACGCGGTATAGATTGACCATGGATATCAAACCAGGCGATTACTCTTTTTTTTTCTCACATTTCTTCTTTCGGGCAATGGATTTTGTAGCAGTAAATGTACATGTTACACCAAAAGGATAGGGATTGATTTAATATTTGGACTTGCGATTTTCCTTTTATAGTTAGTGCTAGCAGTAGATCTGCGGATTCTTCACGAATCTTTCCTGGATGATCAAAAAAAAAAAAAAGTGCTGCATCTGGCATTTGACTCGGTGAATATTATATGAAAGAAGCAGTGCATCACATACAGGAAGAACTTATCCAAGCTGTAGCTCGTGGAAACAGCCTACGCGCTATGACTTGTCTGTCGGAATCCAGGACGGTCATGTACCGCTGAGAATCCCTCTTCTTTTTGCCCTCGTGTTTCTTTTTTCTTTTTCTTTTCCTACTACGTTAAAATGTAATACGGAAAGAGGAAATGCTCAGTATAGATATAGATATCTAGGATTTGGGCCATTTACGCAAGTCTCCTAGTATAGTGGGGCCGAGGGGGGATTTATATAAAGTTAAGGTTATGCCAGGCAATAACCGGGGTAGTGCAGTAGTTAAGAGCAATGTCAAACTTGCAAGGTTGTCATCTTAACCAGCCACAGGCCTGAGTTCGATTCCCCTTGGAACTAAAGTTCGCGGTCTGATGGTCATCTTGGCGATGTACTGCTGGGAGTCACCCCTTCTTCTTTTTTTTACCCCTTAAAAAGACGGCAAGGAAATCAATGTATATAGACAGGCTATATGGTATAAGCTGACCATATTGGCTTCAAGCCATTTACCTGGTAGGCCAACTAAAATTTAAGGGAAACCGATTTGCGTTGATAGGGGATTTATATAGGATACTGGTACAGTGACCATGGCCTCGGTCCTGCTAGAAAGTCCCAAGACAATAAGCGCAGATCATCGCATACCGCAGGTGAATGTTACTCATTCTGACTTGAATGCTGCATACGAGATCTCCAAATACTTACACAGCGAGAAAGATTTATATAGTGAGAAGATTTAATCAAACAACAAATTTGCAATTTGACCCAAGTACCTCATCTAGAGGGAAAATAGTATACACAACGGGGGGGTAACAAGTAGACAACAAAAACCCCAATTAAAAGAGTTAAAAAGGCCTACACAGTCCGACTCAAAATTCGCAGAATTTAGCAGCTAGCACCGCTGGGAATACCCTTGCACTTCTTGCTAGTCTGACCACCGGTGATGCTAACGCCGCTCCAAGACCAGTCGGAGCAAGCACCAGAAGCACACAGGATGTAGGTATCGACACCACTGCTGGCGACAGTTCCGTGGACGTTGTCGATGGTCAAGTCGGTAATGGGGACACCGCTGGTGGGGGTTCCGGTAGGGCTACCGTTCTTGTAATCCTGCTCGATGACGATACCGTACTTGGCAATTCCGGAGAGAGTGATGTCCTTGTAGGTGACGCCCTTGACGGCACCGGTGGCGCCGTAGACGGTCTTGATGCGAACGCCTGTAGAACTGGGGTATTAGAGATACTGACATCGGTGAAAAAAGAATGTAAAAGAAACTGAAGCTGGGGAAATTCTTTACGTACCGTTGTCGGAGTCCTTGATGGTGCAGCTCTCGACGGTGACACCGTCAACGGTGTTGTCGGAGCGTCCACCGACGGAGCCGATGGAGATACCGTGGCCGCCAGTGCACTGAGCGCCAGTGAAGTGGACGTTCTGGGAATATCAGTTAGTTAAAGTTCCATGAAATAAGATAAGTCCCAATTTGTCGGTATGTACATACAGTGCCGGAGTTGACAGCCAGGCAGTCATCCTGGTTGTGGACGATAGGGCTGGTGATGTAGACACCGTTGCTGGAGCCGACGTCGAAAGCGTCGGTGTTGTGGCCGCCGTTGCTATCACCGTCAGCGTTGTCGACGGTGATTCCGCTAAGAGTCAGCTCCTTGGCGCCGTTGATGCTGAAGACCTGCACGGGGGAGTTCTTGATGTAGATGTTCTCGATCTTGGAGTTGGTCAAGCTGTGAGCGTAGAAGAACTTGGGCTTGGTCTTGCCGCCGTTGGTTCCCTTGCCGTCCCACCAGCGGGCACCATCACCGTTGAGCTGCGCGCCTGAGGCACCCTGGACGGTGATGGAGGTTCCGGAGACGGAGACCAGAGGACCTTCCCATTCCTTGTAACCGAAGGTGGTGGTTCCTTCGAAGATGACCTATGCGAGATAAGGTTAGTATGGAGATTTGAGGTTGGAGATCGTGATGAGCTTACGGTGGTACCGGACTTGAGTCCTGTCAGGTCCAGAGTAGTTCCGGCCGGGACTTCGACGTTGCTCAGGGTAATGGTTGAGCAAGAGGTCTTGCTCTTGATGGCTTCCGCAGCACCGCTGGAGCCGGAGAAGGTACAAGAAGCACGAGAAGTAAGGAGAGAGGTTCCAAGAACGGGCTCAGCGGCGGGAGCTGCGTTGACAGCAGTCGCACCGAGTAGGGCAATCAAGCCAAGTTTGAGACTGGAGGCCATGATAAAGAAAATATGAAATAGAAATGAATGTGGGGTTTTAAAAGAGTGTGATGGTTTGTTTATGATTTTCAAGCAAAGAGCAGACGAGGGGAGTCTTATATACCTCTACGGTTCATCCTGAAACGAACTGGAATCTAGAACTAGAGCCGAAATTAGATTGAGAGGAACCGAGATTTTCCTTTGAAGGGTTGTATCTTTCCGAGAACAGGCACCGATGAATTTTTCCTCCAATGTGATCCTGAGCTTTGTGGTTTATCCGTCCTGCGGGGCTTCGTTTCAGTTTCAAAGCGGCGATGGAAGACGAATCCCGCCAAGGGGTGGTAGAATAAGTCAAGCTCATTTGTGACTTCAGATGGCTGTTTCGAATATAAGACATTCGGATTTCTAGGTGGGGATCCACTATGTAATGGCATTTAAACGAGGTTGAGCCGATGGCTCGTATTGACCTAGTTTGACGTGTGAAGCCGGGGAGTCCACGGAATAATAGCAATAATGGTTATCAACCCTAAACCCCATGTGTAGGAGAGAACTGAGATGCACTCGACAAGCGAGGAATAAGATACTCCGTGAAGTAACCCCCGGGCCGTGGACCCAGTTTCAGAAGTTAAGCCTTTGGCCCCTTTTTTTCTGCCGATCTACGAACCTGAAAAAGGCATGGAAGTGAAAATATCTGGAAAATTTTTTAAATTAACCAAAAAAAGTCATCTAAAAAGACATCTAAGACATTCAAAAGGATTTCTAAAAAGAAGTCAGAAAGCATACGCGGCCAAGTATCCATCCGTTCCTTTGCGGCAGACTCGGAGGAATGTGCAATATATCAAGCCTTCAGTTCCCGCTCAAGCTATACCTAAGGAGCGCCAAGTCTCCACTACGTTGCTTATTATGCGGATACAACTTGGCCCTACACCCCTATCTTCTGAAACAGGAGTCCTTTATCGCTTCCACATATCTAGAATACGAAAACACGAATTCTTGCTGACCAGACCACATTTGTTGAGACACTTGTTGGGACGTCTTGGATGCCTTGTTTCCCAGGCTTCATCCAGCTACATACGTTACTGTATTCGGTAAACTAGCCGCCACCAGCCGCCATCCCGAGGTCTCTAAAACACATAGTAAATGAGATAAATTACAACTTAATATCTCAACCACTACAACATAATCAAATTCTCATTCTTGGTAAATAGGTATCGATAAACATTTTTAGTAGCACATATCAATTTTGAAAGAACGGGGGACTTATATCATTGTCGTATGGAAAATTACGTCGCTAGGTTTCAAAAATATATATATCTTAGTCGCCAAATCAGTAAATTTGTCGAAACTCCCCAAAGTGACTAGTTATCATATAAAAACCATTAGAATAAAAGGAAAAGTTCTTATAGACTACTGTTGTTGAGATATCAAGTTGTAATTTATCGCATTTACTATGTGTTTTGGAGATGGCGGCTCGCTTACCGAATACGTTAAGTAGCTCTATATAAATAGTTGTTGGAATCTACAGGCAAGTAAGTAGAGCAAATAATATGCGTTGTATTGTAAAGGTATAAAGTTGTACAGAGCATAGAGGAAAGAGAGCAGTAAACCACTACTACTACTACTATGGAATATGGATCATGTGACATATGGGCGATATCAACACCCCCTACGATCATTGGCATATAGATCGCTAAAAAACCACCCCCCAGAGCTCTTTCCTCCAAAAAAAGATAAAGCTATTCAGAGTATACAAATGCGCTAAAAATCACTTCGAGGGACGTTGAAGGTTAGTCGACTGGGAGTACAACACAGTGATATTCGAAATCAGCTTTAGCTCCATACTCTCACGCTCTCTTTCTTAGAGCCCCACTATAAGATTACTATAACTCACCGGGAGATATTTCCGTTATATGCAATGTACCACCGATAAGTCATGATAGATTACGGTAATAATAATCCTTAGCCGTGGGATTTCTTTCCATTCTGGAAGGGAACTCCATATAATACACCAAAAAAACTTAAATTCAAGGCCTAGTAGATGGTCTATTGCGTAATAGTTGAAACTATATCATAGGCCTAAGCATAATCCCCATCGCTCTCTGCTTCCATTAACTTGAAAGAAGGCAAAGCTGAAAACCAGCCAGCTAGAGGCGTTCCGACGCTCTTTCTGGTGAATTTCGCATCCTCATCATCAATCACGATTGGCTTTTCACCTCTTGATCCTGCCGCAGCCTCGGCCATAAGTTGGACATGACAGCATTTATCAAGAGACATAAACCAGAAAACTGTCTCTTCCACAGTTTGGCCACACGTGATAAGTCCGTGGTTTTGCAGAAGTGCTGCTTTGGCGTGGCCTAGAGCTTTGGCAATTGCAAGGCCTTCATCGCTAGCGAGAACGATACCCTTGAACTGCTTATAGACTGCGATGTCCTATAATTTGTAAGCGTCTAGCTATATATAAAACGGGCGGCATGGTATCCTACATCATGGAAAGCGCACGAGTCTTGGGATATCATGTCGATTGGTCTCCCAAGAGAACAAAATGCACGGCCGTAGATAGAGTGGCTGTGCGCAACGGCGTTTACGTCCGGGCGAGCTTCGTGAACTATAATAAAAATTAGTAGGTTATTCTTAATGATCAAGGATGCCGCTAGGCGAAAGAGGAGAATACTCGATATATATCAAGCATATCTCTAAGCCATAGACACCTACCTGCATGATGAATCATATATGCAGCAGTATTAAGTAGCTTCACATCGCCTCCTTCGATGACTTTACCACCCTCTCCAACACGAATCAAATCTCTAGCACGAAGGCTCGGCCAGGGTACACCGAAAGGGTTAACCCAGAAAGTGTGGGGCTCCACGGGATCCTACAACTTTCAGTAAGCAGAGAAACAGAATTCGAAGAAATTGTTAGCTTACACGCAATGTAATATGACCCGCAACCCCTTCGTCAAATCCGAGCTTCGCAAAAATTCGAAATGCTAGAGCGAGTCGGCCTTTCTGGTATTCGCGTTCCTCCAGTTTATCGTCGAATTTTGGAGGACTTGGTAGCGCAGCCATTTTGCCTCGGGTATCTTCGTCTGACAGTCCCGGCTCGTGCATTGTATGAACTGTGGAATAATAAGGAAGGCTGTTATGTGTAGGAAGGGGAAATCCCTAACCTTGGCGATTGGTATTTATATAGCAAGGTAGTTAGACTTCGGAACCCGGCACCTAGGTGGTTGGTTCTAGCCCATTGCCAGACCCTATACCGAGGTATGACCGCTACTACTGTATAATATTGACCTACCGTATCTACATCCGCGGCACTGGAAACATAAACATTCGTCAAACAGTGGCTTACAGGTATCAAATAAGGCGTACAGTACTTAGCGGCGGCAAGTGGTCCTTGCCGAGCTAGCTCCATCGCCCCAAACTACATTTAGTTACCTAGGTTGACTCATATACATATGGACTGAACTAGTATTGGTCTGCGCAAAGAAGGCAGTGATATAATCTTTTACGGTCAGAGGGCGAGCATAATGACGCAGAGTCCAGTATGCCCTGTATGTTGCTACTCTTCTTAAACTAATCTACCTATATTGTACGTGCGAATCATTCTTTTAATTTCTTTTAGGATCCATCTTTACAACTTTCTTGCTGTAGACCCATCTAACACTACGGCTCCGGAGCTGGATAATCCAATATCATGGATGCTTTGCGTACTGACCAGCGGATCATTTTTCGTGCTTTTTTGGAAATCATTTTGCTTCCTCATAACTGTTTTTACCCCCATCGCCTTTCCTAGCCTGAGTCTGAACAAGGAATGAGCTGCTCAGACAGCGCCCAAGTACCCCGAGCTCTTCTCTAACCTCTCAAAAGGCCAAAAACCCCAGATCCTATGGATCGGATGCTCCGACTCGCGCTGCCCGGAGGCCGGTGATGTCTTCGTCCAGCGCAATATGGCCAACGTGCTTCACTCTGGTGACCTTAGCTTATCCGTTATTATCGAGTACGTCGTACAATACCTGCTTGTCAAGCATTTTGTCGTGTGTGGACATACCGCCTGCGGTGGTGTCACCGCGCTGCCATGGGCAACAAGCAGTTTGGACTTTTGGACACCTGGCTGTTGCCGCTGCGCCAGCTGCACGAGCATAATTATGACTTTTTGAGGCCCATGTCTACTGAAGAGGCGGCCATGAAACTGGCTGAACTAAATGTTCGTGAGGGTCTTAATGTGGTTAAGCAGAAGGGCGTTGTTCTGAACGCCATTCATGAGCGTGAACTCCAGCTCCATGGTCTGATCTATGATACCAGATCAGGTATCCTCAGTGAATTAGACTTCAGGAACTGAAGGAGATGACCATGACTCATTTGACAGCGCTCCGGACCGACTGAAGTGGCCAGTTTTCAAACTATACAATTTTTGGCCCGAAGGCCTCAATATGGTGACAGTAGCAATAAGTAGCATGGAACATATTTTGGGTTAGTTAGCAAAAGCGAGAGATAGAAATTTCACTATAAAAAGGGCTGATTTCATTATCAACATGTTTCTTTTCGGCCCTGTGGGGATTGTAGATTCTACCCCTCCGTAGACAAATGTATGATCTGAGTTGTGGATCTTCCTACTACCATATGCGAAAACAGATTCCCCACCGTACACTCGCAGATTGTGACCTAAAACCTGTCCTAAAACGTGCCAATCTATATGTAGATTAGGTGAAGATATTTGTGTTTCTAAAAATATATGGATGTTTTTACAGGATGAGTGTCGTCAGGTGGGTTTGTAAATTGGAAGATCTGGGTACTGTATGCCTTATTCGATACCTGTAAGCCACTGTTTGACGAATGTTTATGTTTCCAGTGCCGTGGATGTAGATACGGTGGGTCAATATTATACAGTAGTAGCGGTCATACCTCGGTATATGGTCTGGCAATGGGCTAGAACCAACCACCTAGGTGCCGGGTTCCGAAGTAGACTTCCGCAAAGCTCGAAAAACCCGAAACCCGACCCGGCTAGACTTCGGCAGAACCCATTTTAGGTCGGAACCTCCGACCCAAAACCCAATAGGTTAAACCTAATAACCCAACAACAACCTACTTAAAGCTATCTTTACAAAAAATATAGGTCTTAACGTTTATAACGATACTAAGTTATTTAGATAAATAGCTGTTTTTTATAACTATTCTAGTGTGTTTATCGAATATTACTATATTATTATAGACTATTAAAAATATATATTTATAGTAGAGGGTAAAAAATATATTAATTATATAGTTATACGTTAGAATTCTATTTATCTGGTTTATACTATGTTATGGCCTCGATAGGTCACTTAATGTGAAGGGCTGAAGCTTTATTGATTCAATTAGGCTAGGCCAACATGCTGTTTACATCAATCTTAGAGAAAAGGTAACTATCTACTGGCGATGGGGGTTTATGTATGTTATGGGCACGTGCCTCACGTGATCCAAGCCGGGCTCTGGCCCGTTACAGTACCCCCCTTTAGATTGATCCTCACAATAGGCACGATGATGTCGCCGTCGGCGTTGAAACGGTGCCGAGAGGGCCTCGGAACGGGCCCGTATCGTCGTTCGTAGTCATCAAGTGCTGAGCAGCTCTCAACCAGATCCAACCTCTCCCATGTCGTTTCTGCATATCCCACCCATTTCACCAGAACCTCAGTCTGTATTCCCCTACCAACTCGTTTCTCCCGTGTCGACAATATTTCTTCAACTTCGTACTCCAGCTCGCCATCGACTAGAACTGGGGGTGGCTGCGAATCGTCCACGATTTGTGACGGAAACGGGTCCGTTGCGGCAGGTCGAATCAACTCTACGTGGAAGACTGGGTGTATGCCAGAAGGCACATTGAGGCGCACAGTGTGGGACGTAGGCACCTCTTCAACTTGGTATTGTGCATGAATCCAGTCTAGTTTCTTCGACGGGCGCTGAGAGCGCACGTTTCGTAGGTTCAACCATACCCGATCTCCTACATGGTAGGTAGGTGCTGCTTGCCGAGATCGGTTTGTATGTTCCTGCTGCTTCTCCTGCGCTACTGCAATCGCTGACTGTGCCCAATCGGTGGCTTCTCGTAGTCGATTCACGAACGTTTCGCCAGCGCGTGCGGGCTGAGTCATCATTGTTCCGAGAGCGTTCGTACTACTGTCTTCGATTCCTAGGGGGTCGATATGATACCCATGGGTAAAGAAGAACGGGGATAAACCTGTTGAGGAGGCGTCTCGGTTGTTAATCGCGATAGCTACTATTGGTAGTAGCCCCATCCAGTCGTCCTGAGCGTAGGCAATGAACGTTCGCATGATCCGTTCGACCTCTTGGTTCGCTCGCTCTGTTGCTCCATCTGATTGGGGGTGGAAGGCGGTAGATAATCGTCGCTGAATCGATAGTTTCTCGCAGACGATTCGCCAGAACCCACCTACGAATTGCGAGCCTCGGTCGCTCGTGATCGTTAGCGGGAGTCCGTGGTGCATATAGAAATGCGTTAAGAAGACTTCCGCCACCCGTCCTGCCGTGATTTCTGTCATACCAATTAAGATGACCCCTTTTGTCAACCTATCCGTTATAACCAATAGATTCGTGGCTCCGTTTTCCTTCGACGGGGGTAGGTCTGTGATGAAATCCATTGCTATTTCGGCCCAGATTCGTTGGGGAATCGGTAACGGTTTTAACAACCCGTGTTTCGTATCGCGCCAGACTGTGCTCCTTCCACATACCGTACAGTTTCGTAGGAATCGTCGTACATCTTTGGCTGCGCCGGGCCAGAAGAACCGTCGAGATAATATCGAGTATGTGGCGTCTCGTCCTGGGTGCCCGGTGATATGAGAATCGTGAATCTTCTGGATGATCCCTGTGCGTAATGGCTCGCTGTCTGGGATCCATAATCGCTGGCGGAAACATAGTAGCCCTCGTTCATCGAGGTGACATTCCGATAGGCTAGTCTTCACGCCCGTTTCGGCGGCGATTCGGCGGTCTCCCTGCTGTAGAGCTTGGGAGTATAGCTGATATGTGCCATCTGTCGCCCTGCCCTTCTTCCATTCCTCCTGTAACTCGGGTTCTTCAAAGAGGGAAACTGGGGTATTGAAGTCTAATCGCGCTTCTTCCTCTGAGGCATCGGTGACTGCTTGTCTTGGTCTGCTCAGTCGAACCGAGACCTTTTCGAAGAGGGTTCGGAACCGATTCGATAGTCGTTCGTCAGTAGCATCCTGTGGTATATCTTGGCCCCGTCGTGAGAGTGCATCGGGAAGCACTGCGAGCTTCCCAGGCCGATAGTGTAACGTGAAGTCGAATTCTGCCATTAAGCCTGCCCATCTCATCTGCCGTTCACTAAGGTGCTGCGCTTTGTTGAAGTATCGTAGGTTTTTATGGTCCGTTACGATAGTGAATCGTGGGACCATCTTCAACTCGGGCCTCCATTCCCGTAGTGCGCGTATGATCGCTAGCAACTCCTTGTCGTGGATCTCGTAGTTCGACTCTGCTGGGGTCAATTTCTGCGAGATATAGGCACAGGGGGCCAACTGGCCGTCGTCTTGTCGTTGAGATAGTACAGCTCCCGTAGCCCATCCGGATGCATCGGTTTCTACTACCGTCTCTCTTTCTTCTTCGAAGTGTGCTAGGATTGGGGCGTTAATAAAGAGGTCCTTGAGTTCTGTGAAGGACTGCTGGCAAGCTTCATCCCATTGGAACACCACGTCCTTCTTCGTGAGCCGGGTCAACGGTGCCGATAAGGCAGCGAATCGGGGTATAAACGATCTATAGAAGTTGGCGAATCCGAGGAATCCGCGCACATCGCGTACTGATTTCGGGGCTTCCCACGCACGTATTGCTTCCACTTTCTTCGGGTCCACGTGAATTCCCTCGCCTGCACGGATAATGAATCCAAGGTATTTAACAGAGCTCTGTTCGAACTCCGACTTTCCAATGTCGCATTGCAACCCCGCGTCCTTAAGCTTCCGTAGCACTTCGTGTACTTTTCGGCGGTGATCTTCTATCGAACCGCTAGAGTAAATGATGATGTCGTCGACATACGCTGATACAAAGTCGTCGAGGTACTCTTGTAGGGTTTGGTTGATGAACCGTTGGAATGTCGCTGGCGCTCCGGTGAGGCCAAAAGGCGTAACATTCCACTCAAAGAGGCCGTATCGGGTACGAAACGCTGTCTTCCATTCCTCTCCTGGTGCTACCCGTACTTTGTGAAACGCTGCGATGATATCCAGTTTCGTAAACCACTTCGCTTTCGCCATATTCCGTAGGGTTTCTCGGATAAGGGGTAGTGGATAGCGATCTTTTACGCTTAGGTCGTTTAACCCCCTATAATCGACACAGAATCGAACTCCCCCGCCCGGTTTCCTCACTAGGAGTACTGGGGCGGCTGCGGGTGACTTGCTAACACGGATGAAGTTCTTATCCAGTAGATCTGTCAACGTTTTTCGTAGGTATAAAAGCTCCTCTTTATTCATTCCGTATAGTGGACCGTAAGGCGGGTGTTCTTCGTTACCATTTCGGTCGCGATTCAGTGGTATCTTATGGTCGATTCCAGGTCGATGTGGTGGTAGCTTATCAGCTAACTGTTGGCTAAAGACATCCAGCCATTGCCAGTACCGTTTCGGTAGCTTTTCCTTCAAATCGACATGCTTCTTAGGTCGTAGTGCTTTGTCGATATCGTCTAGCGTGACTTTCCCAATCTGTAGACGATCCGGTCGAGGGGTGCTATCGAATAGCTGCCGAATCGACTTGGCTGAAGCGCGGTTAACACGTAGTGCTTTTGCACCGACCGGTCCGATGGTCCTATTCTTTCGATTCCAGCATCTGGTTTTCTCTCTGGTTTTAGAGAAAATGTCCATATATCCTTTGTTCGGCGAGTATATTCCATCGACGTCCTTGATCCACGGGAGGCCAAGAATGATTTCGTCTATCTGGTCCTCAATGATATACGCAAAGATCGTACCGTTCTGGTGGCCGTGGATATCCGCATTGAAATACGTGACGTGGGTGATTCGGCCCTGATTCGCTACCACTCCGTCTAGCTGTCGGGGACGAATCTGTATGCGCGGAAGGTCGAGAGATTTAGCGAGTGCTCCATTTACTGTTGCGTAGCTTAGACAGCCATGATCGACTAGTGCTTCTGCAAACTGGATTCCATTCACTCTAACGTCAACTAGGAACGGTGGTTCCTCGCTTCTGTCTAGTTTCTCGACCCCCTTTCGCTCCTGCTCGCGGCTAAGAACAGGAGCTACTCGTTTTCCGACTCACTATTGGTCTGTACGCTCTCTTCTGTCGAACTAGGTTCGGTATCTTCCTCGACTACTGCTCGCGATTTATTGATACGGGCGGTTCGTTTATGTTTCGGCGGCTTTTCGCTACTGTCGCGATCCTCCTTCCTTTTCGGCTTGCTTGCCGCCACGCGGTTTTTCTGCTCTGGGCGTCTTGCTGGTAAGAGCGGGCACTCCGAAATCCAGCAGCCGGGCTTTCCACAACGTAGGCAGCGGCCTTCTTCCCGGCGGCTGCTTATCTCTTCTTCACTAACCCATTGTGCTCTCTTTGGTCGTTCGTGGCGTTCGCGACTGATTCGTCGGTGATTCGCGTGCGGATCGACGCGGTTTACCGATACCGTCGGGGTCCAATCCATTTCATCTACAGATTTCGTAGAGCGGCGAGTGGGCGGTTTACTTATGTTCAACGCGTCCATATCTGTGCTAATTTCGTGAAGACGGGAGATCAAGCCTTGGAAGGTGGCGGGTATACCACGATTCATCAGCGAATTGCTCATAGTTCGATTTAGGGAACCGAGCAAGATCTGTCGCTTAGCTTCGTCGGGCCATTCTAGTGCTCCAGCGTCGGCGAACTCCTTTTCTAGCCGTGGTAGGAATTTCGAGAAAGCCATACCTTCAGATTGATTGATCTGGTGAAGGCGTCGGGCAGCCCGTGCTTGTGCGTTTGGGTCACCATAGATCTTTTCTAGGTAATCTAGGAGCTCTTCCGGGGTGCCGTCGTTTCGTCGGTGTTTCACATACGTCCCGGTGTTCTTCCAGGCGAGCTTCTCTAGCCGGGAGAATACGTACATAAATTGTTCGTGTGTGGCACCAATGGCTTCGCCATCGACTGCCAGTTTGTTTTCCATCGTGATGCGCCATGTAGGCCAGTCATTTACACTTCCCGCGAATAACACTGGGTCGGGGAGTCTCGCTCTTGGTCGGCGGTAGGGCTCTCCGATACTCGACGGCGTTTCGGTGGCGGTTCGTACTTGTTCCGTGACCGTTTCGCTAGTGATCTCATCGGTTTGATTGCTGATGCCTTGTTGTGCTATCATCTCTTCGAGGCGGCGGATTCGCTCTCCTTGTGCGGCGGAGAGTCGTTCCTGGGTTGCCGCGTGCTGCTCTTGTGCAGTCACCATCCGCTGTTGGGAGGTAGTGAACTGCTCCATTGCTTCGCCATGGGCTTGTTGATTCCTCATCATCTGTTGCATTATAGCTTCCACCCACTGTGGGGGTGTACTCTGCTGAGCCTGAGGTTCCATGGTTACTGGTATTCTGTTGGTGCTTCGTCGCTGAATCGGGGGTGATTCAGGGGTAATTCTTCTGCTATGCCTAGGGATTGTCGCTTCTAGGGCTTTTCCGTTGGGGTCCGATGGTTTAACGATAAGAATCGGAAGATTGATGTATGTGAAGGGCTGAAGCTTTATTGATTCAATTAGGCTAGGCCAACATGCTGTTTACATCAATCTTAGAGAAAAGGTAACTATCTACTGGCGATGGGGGTTTATGTATGTTATGGGCACGTGCCTCACGTGATCCAAGCCGGGCTCTGGCCCGTTACACTTAATAGGTTTTGGGTTATAGCTAATAACCTAAACCTTATCGTTAGGTCGAAGTAATGGACTTAAACCCCATTTGGGTCCAAGTTAGAGTGGGTTGTGCTGAAGTCTACTTAGTAGAAATATCTACGTATAGGAGATACTACTAAGATACTGCTTGTGATGGTTTACTGTTTTCAGGTGCACGGCCTGTCAACCGGGTGGGATACGATGATAGGAGAGAGGAACAGATTGTATTGTCTCGGCGTAACAAGACTAATTCTTGTCGGAGCAAAACAGGATCCTCGGGAGTGCTGTGTTATCTATCACTTTACCCCGCCTTGATCACATAGGGTTAGCGACGAATCAGTGGTTCTCTACTCCCCGTGACCCAACAGGTAAGGCCAGGCAGCAATTCTGTTTTCATATTGTAAGGATCTTTATCCGTTACACTGCTCTCTACCTAAGTAGATCCTAGCCACGTAGCTATCAATCTATAGTTAAAGCTATTTATAACGCCTAAAGAGACAAATCCTAGGGTAGACTTCGACATCGCCCGTCCATGGGCACTAGGAAGTGTCCACGCCCCGTGGGCCTTTTGAAATTTGACGCCCATCGCCCACCATTATGCAAAATTAATGCAAAAATTACCCTATTAGGCTATTTTATATACATAACCAGTTCTTGGCAGTATCCACTTTGCCAAGAGTGTCCGCATATGCCTTGGCGACGCTTAAAGTGTCTCCACTCTAACGGGCGTTGTCTATCCTAGGGCTTAGTAGGATATGACAACTTCACTGATTTTGACTGGTTGTCGTGGGCGAGATAACACCTGTACTTCGTGTTATATAGATAAGGCCGAGGATATTGATAGATAATTTAAATCTAGTTAATAACGAGCTCCCCAGGCTCATAACCTGTTGGAATATTTAGGCAAGTAAATGGAGCAAATAATATATGTTGTATTGTAAAGGTATGAAGTTGTACAGGATATAGAGGAAAGAGAGCAGTAAACTACCACTACTATAGAATATGGATCATATGACATATGGGCGACATCAATACTAGTGTACCCTGTAATTAGCACTTATGCAACTTGTATGTGTATCCTGAAGAGTCAGATACCTGAGGCGCAATCACGCGGTGTACAAAAGTCTGCCCGGTAGATTCACTTCCTACCACTCATCTTCACAAGTCTTTATATTGCAGTACCAAGGAGGCTATAGTCGCCCTGAAAAAAAAAATATCGAATGCAATTCGATGATGTAAAATATGGTTGTTGGAAAAAAGAAGTTGAAGATTAAAGCTCTGGTGTATACGACACAGAAGTACGTTATGTTAAATAATATACCACAGAAGTAATATACTAAGCAACGTGTAAAAAGTTTGAATGTATAAATCTTTCACGAGGTATAGAATTGAAATTATAAAACTGTCTAATGTCTTCCTATATAGATGAAGCCGTATTTATATCTTCCTTTCCTCCCTGTAGATCTATCTGCCCTTATCATAAAATATTGCGTTTTATGATAAAGCGACATATACATGAGATCATGAAACCCATTAGAGTTTAGCGTTGAATAGATCCAAAAACATGTTAATTACCTCCCCACTAGCCGGCTTCCTCCTACCTTCTTCTCCCCATCTTCATTTTAATGTCTTCGCCAATGGATCTTGTTGTGAATTACCCTTTGCAGGAGAAAGCATGTCCTCTCCCACCAATCGCGGGTGTTGTTTTAAAAATAATAAAATATTTGAAGTATACTGGAGGGAATGAACCATGTAGAGAGTTCAAGTATCTAGATAACGGCCTTCACAACATAAAACGGCTTCTTCATTCAAGCACCCACAGTGAGACCTCAGGATGACTCAACCATATTTTTTGTATATAGTCCAGTGCACCTCCTGCTTCTTGATGTTACCATCACACTGCATAGCTCCCTTGCCCTGCATTTTACCAGTTCCGTAGCCCCAGTGCTTCGAAGCGTATCGGATAATATCGACAACATCCTGGGCCCCGACATATTCGTCGATATTTCCCTTACGACCTTTGCCCTCAATGCCGAAAGTACATGTTCCAAAATTGAGAATTCCGAACTGCCACTCGATTGGCTTGAACCATGACCTACTTGTTCCTTCTATGTTCTTGACAATAGCCAGACAATCCTCGATAAGGGGCGATCCACTTGTAGTCTCTTCGATATAGATTGTTTTCGATGTGGTGCAGTACGACTTGCCATTATCGTTGTTGTATGGGAAACCTTCCTTATTTCTTGTAGCATCTGTGGTGTCGGCATTTTCCAATGATTTGCGGGCCAGAGTCTCACTGCACACGGGGAGGTGCATGAACCCAGGAGTCGTGATGTCCATCTTCTTGAGGGCGTCAAATGTACCTGGATCTTTTGGATCCGCCTTTCCTCCGCCGTTCTCATTGCCGTTCTGCTTGTATGTTTTGACAGATCTGGTAGGGTCATTCATTAGTGATCTGTAACGGTAACGAGGAATGAAAGCAAACCCGTGGAGAAAACGAAGACTTACCCAGTAATGATATCTTCGACCTTCAGTCCATTCCAGGCCTTGCCATCGAGCTCTTCAACGCCTTTGGGCGAGGAGAATGCACTGTCGGGGCATTTGCAGCCTCCCGGAATCCGCAATTCTTGGCGCAAGGGTGCGATTTTCCATCAGGATCCGCCAATTGGTACAGCCTGTTTTCATAACACGCAGACTTCAAGTCCTTGGTATACTTGTCGCTATCCTTATCATCGCAGGTTCGACCTGTATCAATGATGAAAAGATGATGACCCGAGACCTGCCAAACGGCGGGAATAGAGTATGCCCAAAAGGTAGTTAGGAAACTATCTTCCACCGACTTCTTCTGAGCATCTGTTGCTTCGGTCTCCTTATCATTGCGCTTTGTATTTTTCGGATAGGGGATGTCTTCCGGAACGCCATCGAGCAGGCGTCCGTCCGCTATCATGGCGGTGAGTCTTTCAATGGACTTGTCAGAGCCGTCGAATAGATCTCTGAGATCCGTCGTGAAAATGTACTCCCAAGCTTTAAGACTCTGACCCATGTACTTGGAGAACTCGGCTTGCTTTTCGGGTTTCCAGTCCTTTCTGAAGATGAATCTTAATCAGCTATAGTTCCATATCAAACTTAAATTTGGAAGACCCACGCGTCCCAATCGCCCTTCAGATTTGTTGCAATCGTGACAGGACTGGTGAGGATGGCGTTCAAGACCCCCTTGTGGTGATCTCTCGAGGCGTCAGTTTTGGCGGCCATCGCAGGTATTCCCGCCAGCACTATAATGTAAATTAGTACAATTAAGGAATTTGACCAAGTAAAGTTCATAGGGAGGAGAGTACCATCGTCGAAGAATTTCCCGCCAACTGTTGGCACACCCAAGGCGATCAGACCTAGGATGGTGTTTAACCACGAATCATCCTTCTTTGGAGGAACAGGGGCGAATGTGTTCTCTAAGTCAGGGAGTGTGTTGTCAATGACAAGTGCGGCGTCAGCCACAAGTGCACTCTTGAACTTGGCGTACATCTGGGCGTATCAATTGTTAGCTGGATCCTTTCGAACTGCGCGCGGGGGATAGTAATAGTGATTACTTGATGAATAACGACAAAAGAGTTCCAGATGAACACAGCCGCAGCACCTGTCTTGTCATTCGTATCAACCTCGAATTCCGGGCAGCTTCAAGTCTGCCCGCAATTGGAGTCATCTTGAATACGATGGCAATTTGCCCCGCCGGAATTGCCAAGGAAGTACAAAATCTGGGACGAGAACTTATCCCTGACGTCTCGGTGAGACTTTTTTTCGGTAGTCCTTCCAATCTGCAATTACATCACTCCAGGCATCGGCAGCGCCAAGCTTTTCCCAACGGGTCATAGGGGACCAATAGGGAATCTCCCTGTAGTACTCGCTGTCACAGCCGATCTTAGTCCAGTTGCCCCTGCGGCTACCAGCGCCTCGGGGCGTGATGACGCCAGACTTGGCTTCAAGTATCAGACCAGCCCAACTATCTAATCCCTTGGGTGCATCGTTGAATTGTTCTAAATCGGTGGCCCAGTTGACTGTGCCGCCCATACCAAGGGATTCGTACATCTTGGCTCGCTGAGCCCTGATTTCGGGGCTCATGTAGGCCACCCAATTTGTGTCATCATAGGCCATGATGTTGCTATTGCTGTAAGCATCAACATAATGTTTATTGACGCAGGATGAGTTGTTATTGAGGAGTTGATTGAGCTCAGCATTTGAGGTGTAGCCCGCGGTATCGGTGCACTCTGCCTTCTCGGCCCTGGAATCCAGTCAGCCTCCGGTGAATTTGCACGGCGGTCCATCGCAGTCTGCATCAGACGTAGCTGCTGACACCGACAACCACCTTGCCCGAGTCCGCACCCGCATTGGTGATTAGGGCAAGGGATTCTCGGGTCTCCGTCATGTTGACATGGCTTCGCAGACAGCTTCCATTATCGCAACCTGGCTGGGCGTTGGGGTTACCTGCATCCCATTGTCCGTGTGAATCATAAGTCATGAAGACAATGTAGTCAACAACCTTACTGATCTCTGCGATCGGGAAGCCCTTGAGGTACCAGTACGAGCCAGGAGCAGCAATCGAAACAGACTTCCCTTTAAGAAGATTCTTCAGAAACACAAGGAAAGCGAGATAGTTGGCTCCTTCACTCTTGTCGCCAGGTGGGGTTCCAGGATTATCAGGTGCCTAGTTTTTGTTAGTGACCGATCACTCTTTCAGCCTCGGAGAGAAATGGCGCATAGGGGGGCCGCACGTACACTTGGGTATTCCCAGTCAATGTCGACACCATCAAGGTTGTTATCGTCCACGAACTTCGCAATGTTAGTCGTAAGCTTCTTGCGATTAGCCGGGCTGGTTCCTTGGCGCAAAATCTGGTATGTCGATGCTTGGGTGGAGAAGGCCCATCCACCGAAGCTGACAATCCTCTTGGGACCGGAGATATGCTTGAAGTTAAAGAACTGATAGTTGGTCGATTTGTCGTAAATGCCGATTTCATAGTCGGAGGAGATATCGGCAAAACCAAAATGCAAGTGTGTATATTTTGAATGATCAACTTGCGTCGCATCTTGATACAAGCAATCACGTTTGAACTGATAACCTTCGTAGTATCCGATGCTGCGGAACTCACTGGGGGCAGTTCCTTTCACGATATTCATACCGCAGTGTGAGATGCAGCCGTTGGTTCCAGGTTTGGCAGTACCAGGGGCGCCCGTGTTAGTATCGGTACAGAATTCTGCTGTGGTCCCGCACTATAGACAGTATTAGTGAACCCAGTGCAGTGACAGAAAGCAGATGGTGAGCATACGTGGCCAAATGTGTTGCAGCAAGCATTAAGTGGGCATGGGTTGAGGTCGGCAAGCTTGCTCATGTCTTTTGGAGGCTTTGTGCCAGGAACCTGGGGACCACACTTGGCATCAGAAACCTCAGCCGGCATGGGCGGAGATCCTTTGCTGACACAGATGACAGAATCTTTGAAGATGTTCTTGCATCCGGTCCATCCCCAAGTCTTTTGATTGAAGCCATCGATGTCTTTCTCCGTAAGACCATTGGCCACGGCGATCGTTGAACAACTTTCGCCATCGCCAACAGTGGCTGTGGCACATGAGCGATCTTTGTTGGGCTTTGGGCTAAAGTCGGGAAGTGTACCAGAGGAGTAGCAAACGTGCTGACCAGGCCTTAACCTCGAGCAGAAGCCTTTAGCAGATTTGTATTTGGTGAAGTCAGTCCCGGAGATACCACACCTCAAGGCGATTGCGGCGCAGCTATCACCATCTTGGACCTTCTCTGTTTTGCACTCCGCCCTAAGAAATAGTAGATTCCTCTCCTGTTGCGTAGGTTACTTGGCAAGTAGGGGTGAACCAGAGGCTTTCACGCTGTTTGTGGTCGTATTTCTAGGCTTAATGGACAGCATGAGAGATGTAAAGTGATAGCCGTGAAGTTCGTGCTTTGTTCGAAGTCAAGGCACTCGGCATTGGACGAGGACACACCTTTTGAGCTGTTTCATATGGCTGTAGGTCGACCAATGGGAGGGATTGGGTCCCGTGATAATTCATCGCTCGGGGCAGATGCTGTTAAACCCCTGATAGCTTGGGCTACCACCCAGTCTGGAGTTTCCCTGGCCGGAGACGACCGCAGCTGATAGCAGTATGTCTGCAGCCATGCCATTTAAAAGGGGTGCCATAGCTTTGGACCCCTTGTGGCGGAGGTTGAAAAGAGTGTAATATGAAAAATCGAAAAGGGTGATAAGAATTAACCAAAAGAGTGTATAGACAGATGAAAACGGGTGGCTGTTGGGAACGGTGAAAGTCCCAAGAATCTCCGCAAGTCGAGAGGTATATTGATTTCGAGAGAACCATGTCCAGTACTGGAGTAGCGCAAATAAATATACCATCTTTTCTCGCCCCCAATCTTAGACTTGACATGGAATCCTTCCAAAGTACAAGTCTCTCCACGCAGACCCATCTGATATGGCCACCGGGTATGATTGTATCACGAACGACATACCCACGCGGATACTTTCTCTGAGTCCGAGAACTAGATCTATCTGGTGTTTCAGAGAAATGCACCACAATTCCCGTAGAATGCCATGGAGAACACCCAATTGCAGCATTTGTATGAATTATACAGGAGCCGCCAAGAGTAGGAAGGCCCCCCAAGCACTGGCTCGACCCACTGCACCGAGAGATCTACAATGGACATAAACTAGAGGTATTAAATGCATGTATATGATATACCGGAGTACGGGTACTCCGTATATAATTCCGTATTGAGGTGGCCCACTTTAAAAGGACCCTCTTTTGCGACCCTGAACTACGAAACCTTCCAGTCGCGTTAGCGCGCTGTAGTCTCATTTGTGCCCCGAAAAATTACCAACACAATTTGGGGTACTTCGCCCTACCGCATCAAAACTTCCTTGTCTTTTGATCTCTTCTCCTGGCCTTGAGAGCCTTACGATCGATATCAATTGATATCAGCTTTTTCTTTTAGACTGTCCTAGTAATCCGTTGTTACACGACACTAGACCTTTCCACTCCAATATTGTCGAAATCGCAGGATGCTCAACTTCAAGGCGCGACTTCTCACCCTCGGCCTTATGGCGTCCCTAGGAGCGGCCAATACGCATGACTTGGGCTTCGGAGAGATCGATCTGATCTTCCCACGAAATGGCACCTTTGAGCCGATGGTGCTCATGCCCGTCATCTTCGCATTTCAGAACCCCAAGGTGATTGATGGACTCTATCCATACCTTAGGTACGGTGTGTGGCCGGCGGATCTCCCAAAGGGGAATCAAACAATGGCCGCCTATATCGATCATGATGCGTTGAACCTTAATATGACGGACTCGGTATTATACCTTAAGAGTAGCATACCTAGCACTCTGCATCCCGAGAGTCTGGACACCGAGAATGAATGGGAATTTGTCTGGGGACTCGAATGGACAAATTGCTCTACAGCGGCGAATGGGACCACTTCCAACGGCAAGCCCAAGGTCAACTACAATGGCCCGTCCGATAGCCATTCCATCCGCTTCACTACGAAAAAAGGGGCAGGTCAGCCCAATTTGACCGCTCTCACCGCCGATGACAAGTGCGATGACATCTCCGCCATGGCGTTCGACGTCACGAAAACTCTCACAGCTCAATCAGGCTACCTTCAAGGGGACAAATGCGCCGTGCTTGAGACTCCGGCGCCTACTCCTTCTCCTTGCAAGGTCAGTATCGTTCCTTCGGCTGCCTCGAGCATAGCAGCTGCTATCACTGCAGCTAAGTGCAATGGTATCGACCCTATTGTGAGCTGCCCGGCCAAGAACGGCGGGGCTGCTATCACCGATATGGCTTCTTCACTGAAATGGTGGACTCCTGGTGTATTGATTGTGGGAACGCTCTTGATTTAGATGCGATGTTGTTCATATTTCCGATGTATTAGAGCATTCTACATGTATGAAGTATTACTGCCGCAACGAGAGTTGGAGATTTCGTTATCAACATATTTTTAATACAAGGAATGGGGCCAATGTAGGGTCGTATCCAACCTTGGAAGCTGAATTGACACTGTCTTTCTTTATCTATCAATCAACGTTGTTCTTCGGAAAGTGAGGTCCACCCCGCCCGTAAGAAATTGAAAAAGTAGTATTTGTGTATACTAGATAATAACTACCTAGGTAATAGTAAAATACACTCCCTTGTAGTAACATCACCAATATGCTCCACAAATATACCGAATAAGAACTATAATATCACCACTAACATCCCTAGCCGTAAAGTATTTAATATGTTTGGCTCTTGGCGTTTTTTTAAGGGTCCTCGGAACCCCACGACTTGTCGATTTCCATACTAGAACAAGCTTAGTGCTGCAACCTCACTCCAATTTCAACCATACCACTTTCTTGGCATTACAAGTAATGGCTTGAAACACCCACGTGAGGGTAAAGATATCTTATGCTAGTAAATTTTATATTATCAGAACCGCAAGTTACCATCCAAGTATGGAGTATGGAGTATACAGGGTCTATTGACAAGCTACTCCGCACACTACGGAGTACTCTAGCACCTGCATCCATCAGGCACCCTCAATGCCAAGTAAAAAGACCAGGTTGGGCGCGATTGAATCAGGGAACCTTGAGCCCTTTAACAGCATTGTCTCCGACAAAATTTTGCATTTACGAGAATCCAAAAACAATGACAGTTCCATAGGGCTAGATTATACACTACAATCCTCGGTAGGCTTCAAGCCATTGCGGGCGGAGCAATCGGGTGGAAGGTGGGTCAAGCCCTGGTAACCTAAATGTGGCCAATTAACATCAAGAATGAAAGCCCTGGTGCCCAGGTGGCCCTTTTCCCGGGCCGGCCCGCCAATCGGGTTATCACGACTGAAGTGCAGGTGGAGACCCGGCCAGGCAAAAGGGCAGTTTTGAAATCAGCCCTGGAGGTTCCAAGGTTAGTGCAGTTTAGAGCTAAGTCGAGATTTGCGATAGCCTGATGCCTAGGTAGGCTGAATTTTGAGCTTAGGCTAGCTTGTGCAGGGGACCCTTGGTTCCTCGGGCGTCTTTAGGGCCTTGGCGTGGTTCCAAGGTTACAGTCTGTAAGTGAAAAAGGCTGTATATAGTACAAGTAAATCCGGCAATCCGACTCCTTCTCCCCCATCCTTCCTATTTGGGACTATCAAAGCCGCAATAAAGCCCACTTTGCATAGTTCAGCCCTCGATGCAGCCCACTGCAGTTTCGTTTGCCATGATGGATTACGATTGAACTGAGAGAGCACTACTCGTATCTATCGCGCCGGTGATTTGGAATACAGGTCGATGAGTCTCCCAGAAGTGATGGATTAATCCCAGTTAACCATGTCGTTGGGGACAAATTGTGTCGAAAGAGTTTCAAAATGCATATAAAAGCACCAAGTTGTCCGACGATACGGCCCAGCCTGGTTCAGATCGACTTGGCCCCTGAAAACCATTACTAGGATTCAACAATATAGTCATTATGTACAGAAAGTCTGCTCTTGCCTTGGTTCTCTTGCCGCAGTTGATTTCTACATGCTCCATCGGACATGACTTTTCTCGTCGTAGAGTTGACTGCACCTTCACGGTAGCTGCCAGTTCTGGAGACACTTGTGAGACCTTTGCTGACAGCTGGGGCATAACAACCAAGGAGCTTAGGTCTGCCGTGACGACCTCCAGCTCGACCGAGACTACCAAGACTCTCACCACGACCTCTTCGGCCACTGACCATGAGCCCACTCAGCCGGGTCTCGCTGAGAACTGTGACAAGTCCTAAAAAGGTTCGGAGGGGGACAGCTGTTATAATATTGAGGCTTCAGCCGGCATCACCCATTCGCAGTTCTTGAAATGGAACCCCTACATCAACGAAAGTATGCCTCCACATCTTCATTCACATTTCTTTCTTCTCCAGCTTAGCAAACTAACAACTGTCAGAGCGTACCAACATCTGGCCAGACTACTTTGTCTGCATCCACGTCCCTTGAGCAACCACCACTTCTGCTGAGAACTGCGATAAGTTCCACAAGGTTGGTTCCGGTGACCAGTGCCACTCCATCCAAACCGAGTACAAGATCACCCTCAAACAATTCATCGACTGGAACCCCGCCATCAACTCTGGTATGTGAGAGCCATGCAAAGAATATTTGTAACCCAGTTTCTTAACACTAATTCTTACGCTCCTCAGACTGCACAAACCTGCAACTGGACTACAACGTGTGTGACCACATTCCCGGCGCTACCAACACCCATAACCCTACGCCGCAGATGCCCAACCTACCCTCGTACTGCAAGACATAGCATAAGGTTGCCGATGGTGAGAGCTGCCCTACGATTCAGAGGGAGGCTGGTGGTATCACTCTCGATCAGCTCCGTAAGTGGAACCCGACCATCGATGCGAAGTGCAGCAACATTTGGAGCGGTTACTACATATGCACTGGTGTTTAATATCCCGTAGTACATGATGGTTTCTGTAGAAGGAAGTTGGCATCAATATGATCCCCGGGACCCTCACGCAAGCCCGCCGGTCGATGTTATGCTTTCCATAAAGCTCAAGCATCTGCACATATAGTACGGAAGATGAGCACAGCACAACGACCATTATTATCGGGGTCTTAATTGCTATCATATGATCTCTATGTGTCTACTTGATCCTGTATGTTAACATAAAAATATATTCGAGCTTCTATTATTGGTTTACTTAATCTACGCTACGGCACCCTAGTCTGGAGTGACGTAACGCCCTATGCCTTGAATGTCTATAGTCCATGCTTGTCTCGAATGATAGTTGGATACCAATGTCGCGGAATGAATAATTTTGCATAAGAGGAGGAACTATTAAGTTTTCGCGTAAGAAATAAGTGAGTAATGTACAACAACCATCTACATTGGTGTCACCTCGGTGGTTATGTAGGTTATGTACGATATAGAAGAATCCGCGGGCCAATGGGACCAACAAAGCGAATATTCTATGACAGCATTTCCCCACCTGATTTATAAATCAGAATATTAAGAAAGATATGATTGAACATAGATGCTGCGTGGAGTAGATATAATCCTTGACATTTGACGTAGCCTGGGGCTGAAATGACGTAAGGGAGGTCGGATTGCCGACGCTCCGGCTCGTAGGCCGGAGAATCCAATGCTGGGGAACAGGTTTTCCCCAGTTTTTAGTGGATATCATTGGATATCCCATCTTTGAACAAAAGTACTTTGTACATCAATCTTAGTGATAGCGTCGAATGACCATGGTCGTTATTATGGCATATGGGGCCAGTGCGCCGCTTCTCGATATATTAAAAACAAGCCTGGTATCATCTGTTGTGCAATAGTACAGACCATTTGTTTATTCTCCGTTTCTTATCCTCCAATTCCCAATTCCAAATGTACTACTGTGGACCAAGTATATCTATACAATAGATATTAATCAACACAACCTGCCAGACGCCTGTCCCAATGGACTCCACAGACCCCGAGAAGCCGAGGACATCAAGCTCCAAGGATGAAGCTAGCCCACAAGCAAATAAAATCGAAGCAGAACGGGGTGTCGATGCCCACGCCGAACGCGCCTCCAACTCCGACACAGCAAGTCACGACGATAAACCCAAGCTGCGTACCGGTGGCAAACCCGAGCTCACAGAAGACGACTGCTACGAAAAACTCGGCTTCTGCTTCCCAACATGGAAAAAATGGATGATCCTCTCCGTCATCTTCGTGGTTCAGATGTCTATGAACTTCAACACAGGCGTCTACGCGAACGCCGTCACCGGTCTGACCGAAGAATTCCACATCAGCGAACAAGCCGCGCGAGTCGGACAATGTGTGTTCCTAGTCGCATACGCATTCGGATGTGAGCTCTGGGCACCGTGGAGCGAGGAATTTGGCCGCTGGCCCATCATGCAGCTCTCCTTATTCCTCGTAAACATCTGGCAAATCCCATGCGCCTTGGCACCCAACTACGGCACAATCGTCGTATGTCGTATCCTCGGTGGTCTCAGTTCTGCCGGAGGGTCAGTCACCCTCGGTATGACAGCGGATATGTGGGAAGCCGACGACCAAGGCTACGCAGTAGCCTTTGTGGTTCTCTCGTCAGTGGGAGGATCAACTGTTGGACCCTTCTTCGGCGGTATGATCGGCGAATGGCTCACATGGCAATGGGTATTCTGGATCCAATTGATCGTCGGAGCGGTAACACAGATCCTGCACTTCTTCATCGTGCCAGAAACCCGCACGACGATCCTGATCGACCGCGAAGCCAAACGGCGCCGCAAGAACGGCGAGGACATCTGGGGACCGAACGAACTCAAAACCCCACGTCTAGACTTCCACGACGTCCTAAGAATCTGGATCCGGCCATTCGAGATGTTCCTCCGCGAACCAATCGTCCTCTTCCTCTCCCTCCTCTCTGGTTTCTCCGACGCCCTAATCTTCGTCTTCACCGAGTCCTTCACTCTAGTCTTCGAACAATGGTCCTTCAGCGTGCTAGCTATCGGCCTAACATTCGCCTCGATCCTCATCGGCTACGTAATAGCATACATAATCTTCCTACCCGACATCCACCGCCAAATTCAAACACGCCGCAAATGCGGCACAGCGAGCCGTCTCGCCGAGCGCCGTCTCCTCCTCCTCCTCTTCATCGCACCGCTCGAACCAATCGGTCTCCTCGGCTTCGCGTGGACATCAACCGGCCCACCAATTCCCTGGATCGCGCCGTGCATCTTTGCCTGTCTGATTGCAATGGCGAACTATGCAATCTACATGGCGACGATAGACTATATGGTTGCGGCGTATGGTCCGTACTCTGCATCTGCAACGGGTGGTAATGGCTTCGCGAGAGACTTCCTTGCTGGTATCGCGACTATGTACTCCACGCCCATGTACCAGAATATGGGGAGCAGGTATCATCTCCAGTGGGCGAGTACGTTGCTCGGCTGTGTGGGGTTCTTGGTTTTGATTCCGGTTTATGTGTTCTACTGGAAAGGTCCGGAAATTAGGGCAAAGAGTAAATTCGCGCAGCAGCTTGCTGCTGATCGGGAAAGGCATACTGAGAGCAGGAGAGCCAGTCAGGCGAGAGCTTCGGTTGGGGGGTAGTGGTTGTGTTTGGGGTTGGTGCATTATATTATAGTTGTTAGATGGCTACCCTGGGTAGATGGATATATTGTTTATTTAATTGTTTTAGATCATTACTCTTATATTTTATTATATATGTGAGATCAAATAGTTCGTTCCTTCTTCTTCTGGAAATATAGACTAATCATCAGCAACTCCAATGGGACTTCATGATAGAGAGGAGCCCAGCTGAATTACCAGTCTACGAGATGGGCTTAGCAGATTGAGCCGGCCCATGGGGTTATCAGTATTTTTAGTCCGTGTGACCCCACTCAGCCACTGGTTGGGAATGTCGATGGGTATTGCTCTTAAATTCATAGGACTCTGGGGAAAGATGTGTATACTTCCGAAATGGGAAAGTGGGTATATGCCACGTGACATTATACTCAATTCGAATACGATCAGTTGCAAATTTCCACGTTGCTTTTTCAATCAAAAAGATTCGATGTTATCGATAGATGAATAGTTACATCTTAGCTCAAGACAACGCAATAGCAAAACATTTATAAAGGTATCTCAAGAACGCCCCAAGTGCCAGCTTCCCTCGCTTCCACGATGCTTCATTCAACTCGCCTCTTCACCCCGAAAAGCACCTTCCTCATGCTACAGTAGATCATCCCACGCAAAGAAATGTTTTGTAAATACTAGATACTATCTTATCTCCGACTAAATATCACCATCTAGCTCGAATGCAACTTCTTGACGCGCATAGCACCTTCATACAGACCGCGATCCAAAGCAGCAGCGACAGTCAGAGTACCACCGATAATAGCACAGACACCAGTAAGGAAGTTGGTAAAAGTCTTCGGGCGAGCCTCACGGTTGACAACCTTCATAGGGGGAGATATCGTAGTTGAAGAAGACACCTGGAATACCACCGCCGGCATGTACGCGCTCCTTATGGCCCTCCGCAGCATCATTTCCACCGGAAAGAGGACGCTTGTGAGAGGTGACCGAGTACTGGTGAGCCTCGATACTACCCTGACTACCGTAGCCAAGGCCGTGGGAGCCAAGGGGGGCCTTGTCATAGGCATTGTGGATGGAGGTCGAGAACTGTGGATCCCAGCCTAGAGGCAAGTACGATGTCGAGACAACCTTGACAAAGTACATGAAGTTGTAGGCGGGTTCATCAGTCTCCTGCTTGGTATCGTCAAGTGGGTTGGTGTGGTGGTGGTCGGTCCAACCCCAGCGGCCTGCAAGCTCGGTGGGAAGCTGGGGTCCGAAGCGAAGCTCGTGAATGAAGTGGGACATCGTGTGCTGCTCCGATGGGCCTGCGTTAGGGACGATATAGGTGTCCAGGTCGTGGATGTGCATGTTGCCACTGGTGAAGCTGCGGCCCGGTGCAATGTGGAAGTTGCCTATCACCTTGTTGACCTTCAGCACACCTTCGACCCGACATCCTTCGCGGCGCTGTGCGACAAGTTTATCGGCATATCCTTCACGCTTACACTGCTCGATGTTGCTCCCATCACCGAAGGCCCATTGCTTCTCGGCGTAGGCTTCGCGCACTTCCTCGCAAGTGGTACAGCATCCTGGTTTGATAACAGTGGAGGGAGGTGTTGCTCCACCACATTCACCACAGTAGTCGGGAGCCAAGTGCTTCGCGGCTTCTGATGGGGAGTGCCTGGAAAGGGACGATAATGAGGTTGTGGCCACGACAGGAACGATTTCGGGTGGAAGAACTGGCACTTACAGGTCCAAAGCCTGGATATCAATCACCTTGCCGCCTTCATTGTGTGGGCTCAGGCGGACTTTGTTCACGCCGTGGGCAACACCGACCTGCTGCTCACCAGAGACATCCATCACATCCAAGGTCAAGAGCTCACATGGCAGCCGAGGGAAGGTCATGTTCAAATGGATCTCCATTCGCTCTCCTGCGCAGCAAAATTGAGTCGTTAGCGACTTTTGCCCTATACATTGTATCTTCTGCAGGTCCATCGTGGGTCCAATCGAGTCCAAACTCTATTCATACCTCGCGATTTATCGACAACCAGCTCCGGCAGCACCACCACTCGTCGGTAGTCGGCCCATTCACCCCATACTAGCCACATAACAATCAATAGCGAGGCAATTGTAATGACACCTCCGGAGTTTGTGCGAATGCGAGCATCTTCGACGGTCTTGGCGAAGGCATCTAGCCTCGTGAATCGCGACTTTGCGGACATCTCGCCGGTCAATCTACGACCATAGGATGAAGCGCAAAGGCCAGGCGATGGTTTGTAGGCAGCGGTAGAAAATTAAGCGCCTGTAAGACAAAAAGAACACGAATAGGTCAGCTACGTGGTCATTGGACGCGCAAGCTCTATTGAATGAGGGAGACCCCATTCAAATAAACAGATCAAACAAACACATGGAGTAAACAAAATGAGGGAAGGCAACCATACCAACAATAAAGTACGAGTGAGTCAATTCAAACTCAATGCGACCGAGTCTTCCAGGCACCTGACAATAGAGACAAGATCA